AAATTATCACTTAGGTGTTAGATGCTTTGGGGCACCTCCCTGTTCACCCTCTGGACCAGTGTTTCTCAAAGTGGACTCTGAGGACCATCTCAGGAATGTGTACATACAGATTCCTTCCATCCATTTCCCCCATCACCACTGCTCAGCAAGAGTCTCTGGAGCTGGGGCTCAAGAATCTTCATGTTTAAGAAATTTCCCAGATGATTCTCATGGACTCTACCAGCTACCACATGTGGATTAATTTTCAAATGCTTATACTAAAGTCTATTCTCCAAATCTTTGGCACCTCAGGTCATGTAAGTATGTAACATTTTATTTGTATATATTTATATATATGTTTATACTTTATATATTTAAATCATAAATGTATTTTTATATAAATAAAATTTTATAGATTTACAGAAATTTGCAAAGAAATGCACAGGGAAGTCCTATGTACCCTTTCCATAGCCTCCTCCAGTGTTAACATCTTATAACCCTACTAACACATCCATAAAGCTTATTCAGATTTCACAGTTTGACATATACCGCTAAAGTTTGCACCCCATCATCCTAGACTGATGGAACACTTAAAAAAAAGAAAAAAGCTAAAGCAAGACTGACACCAGGAGACAGGACGTAGGGAAAGAATCCAGTCCTATCTAGGTCAGGCACTATGGCCACCTGACTGTTATAGGGAATTGGTGGAGTATGGTTGTTGCTTACACCCTTCACCACTGGGACTCACAGAAAGGCCAGGAGCAGATTTGGGTAGATGCTTTCACCACAGCCAACTTCTTCAGGCATCTGGGGACAAGGGCAGGGCTAGCTTCAGTCAGAATCTCACTGAAGAATTATCTTGCTTATCTGGTCAGACTGCAGCCCCAGGTATTTGCTCTTGGGGCAATGGAAAATGCCAGCTCCCGAGGTAATAAAGAGTCTTTCCTAAAATCAGAAAGTGCACTGGTGCTTATTCTTCAGGGAGTCGTTATAGGGATGGAAGAGGTTCCATGCCTATGGAACAATAGTATGGGTGAAACAATAGTAGCCAGTGTGCTACAGGCCAAGGATATCGCTCCTGGGTGGATAAACGTGTTTTTAGCATGAGGTCACAGAAAGCTGAGCCCAGGAAAGGTATCAACAAAACACTAGAGAAACTCTAGTTAATACTTTTTCTTAATTGCCCATTTCTTTGCAGGGATGGCACCCAACGAAAGGAGCACCCTTTGACGGGGCTCCAGGCTGGGCCCACCACTTGGATTCCACATATATGGGCAGGTCAGGAGAACTGGTGAGGCTGCAGGCTCCAGATGTTTATCTAAAGGAGTGACTATGGAGTCTTCCCAGGATAGCATTCACTCTAAGGGAAGGGAACAGGGAAGATCCAGCAATGACACTTCTCGCTGGAGTTTGTTAGCAAGCTCCTCAGTTTTAGTCCAACTAAGAAGGCTGGAGGGTGATTAGGGGGGCATGTTACAGGCAAAACCTGAAAGTACTGCTTTGCTAAAACCCTATCAGAACTTGTACACAAATGGCATTTTGATACCTAAGTGGAAAGGCAAGACTCTAAAATGGGTTAAAAGACATTTGTCCCTGTATTTAAAAAATAATAATAATAGTTGTTTTAGGAGAAGTTTTAGGTTCACAGAAAACCTGAACAGAAAGTAGAGTTCCCACACATATCCACCCCCTGCACACCTTCCCCCATTGTTGACATCCTGAATTAGTGTAGTATGCTCCTACTTTTTTTACGCATTGAACCCAGTCTAGGCAGCAACAGTTCTCCCCGCCCCCAAAATGTGCCCAGGGGATGTGGTGATACCCAGACAAAGCAGAGCCTAGGCCTGGCAGACATGGGCAGATATTGTAGGCCTACAGGACACACAGAGGGAGGGCTAGAGCAATGGAAGACTGGAAAAGCAGCAGAGACAATGTGATAGCGAACTGAGTTTGTTCATGAGTGTGTGCAGAACATCACTAAGACCTCCAAGAAACACTTATCAAGAACTTTGCGGGGATAAGGAGTCCTGGATTAGCAAGTGGGAATAAGAGCGAGAGAAATACAGGTTGCAGGAGAGCGTAGCAGTGAAGGAATATATGCTTTAGAATCACACTGAGGGGGAGGGGAAGGAAAAAGGAAAAAGAAAAAAAAGAAAAAAAAAAGGGAAAAAAAAGGGGGTTAGAGTGGGAGAGAGCCAAAGCGTAAGAGACTCTTAAAAACTGAGAACAAACTGAGGGCTGATGGGGGGTGGGAGGGAGGGGAGGGTGGGTGAGGGGTATTGAGGAGGGCACCTGTTGGGATGAGCACTGGGTGTTGTATGGAAACCAATTTGACAATCAATTTCATATATTAAAAAAAAAAAAAAAAAAAGAATCACACTGACTAGGTTCCAATCCTGGATTTGCCACTTACCTAGCTGTGTGACGTTAACTTATCACTCTTTCAGTTTCTGTATCTGTAAAATGGAAGACATAACCCTTTCTAACTTATACAAGTGTTGTGACAATTATAAGAGCTTAAGACACATAGAGCATTTAAAGTCGTATTTTATGTGCACAGAATAAACATTCAGTAAATAGCACAGTACCTCATGGGGTTGCCACGGAAATAAAAAATGATGGTACAGGTAAAGCACTCCTCTAGAAGAGACGTTCTCAATGAATGTCAGCTATTGCTGGGGGATGGCAATTAAATTTTACATGGTATCAGTATATATCCTGGAAGACTGTCAAAAGGAGAAGAAACAATTATAAAATTTTTATTTGGCAGTATAAAAACAAAACTGACTGCAGTTATTTATGTAAATTGCTTCCCACTTATGTCTAATTACTATGAAGCACAATAACAATTATACGTAACATTAAGTGAGTCAGATTGACTTTGCTAAAACTTTTGATTAGAACACCAACTTCTGTGTACATATGCTGCGTGCTCACTGACTGTGGCTCTTCTGGTACATACATCTGCTAATGCAGCATGGTGGTCTGCTCACAATGTTGGAAAAATAGTGGGAGCACTGGCTCGCCAGACTGCTTTCCCCTCCCCTCCCCCAGATCTTTTTCAGTCCTTATTATCCTACAATTTTCTGCTCATTCTGATGATGCATCCATCCTTTTTTTTCAATCCATTTAATTCAATCAATGTTTAAAGAGTACTTACTGTGTTCGAGGCATTGGGTTAGGAGCTGGAGGGGATACAAGGATAATTAAGGCAACCCCTACTTGTAGTCGAGTATTAGGGAATAAAGGGAAACCTTAATGTGAGGTAGAGAGAAGTTGCTGTGAGTCTTCAGGAAATGCTGGTTGTGGCTTTTGTGCTAGATACTTAAGAGTAAGTATAAGAGTAAATATAAGAGTAAGATACTTAAGGGGTGCCTGGGTGGCTCAGTCGGTTAAGTCTCCGACTTCAGCTCGGGTCACCATCTCGTGGTCCGTGAGTTCGAGCCCCGTGTCGGGCTCTGGGCTGATGGCTCAGAGCCTGGATCCTGCTTCCGATTCTGTGTTTCCCTCTCTCTCTGCCCCTCCCCTGTTCATGCTGTGTCTCTCTCTGTTTCAAAAATAAATAAACGTTAAAAAAATTAAAAAAAAAAGAGTAAGATACTTAAGAGTAAGATTTTTATATACCAGGATAGCTTTACTGAGATATATCACATATTATAAAATTCACCCTTTGAAAGTGTACAAATCAATGGGTTTTGGTATATTCACAAATTTGTGCAACCATCACTACAGTCACTGTTAGGACATGTTCATCACCCTAAAAAGAAACCCCATCCATATCCATTAGCTATCACTTCCCATTCTGCCTCCCTGCAGCCCCTGGCAACTGCTAATTTACTTTCAGTTTCTATGGAATTGCCTATTCTGGACATTTTGTATAAATAGAATTATACAATTTATGAAACAGAGAAAGAGGATGGGGGAGTTGCAACTTGAAATTTTTTTTAATGTTTATTTTTGACAGAGAAAGAGAGAGAGACAGAGAGACAGAGCATGAGTGGGGGAGGGGCAGAGAGCGAGGGAGACACAGAATCGGAAGCAGGTTCCAGGCTCTGAGCTGTCAGCACAGAGCCTGACACGGGGCTTGAACTCCAGACTGTGAGATCATGACCTGAGCCGAAGTCGGACACACAACCGACTGAGCCATCCAGGCACCCCAGGGGAGTTGCAGTTTTAAATAGGATGATCAGGGAAAGCTTTAGGGTGAATAACACACTCGATTTTTTTTTTAAATTTTATTTAAATTCTAGTTGGTTAACAGATAGTGTATTGGTTTCGGGAGTAGAATTTAGTGATTCATCACTTACGTACAACACCCAGTGCTCATCATAACAAGTGCTCTCCGTAATACCCATCACCTATTTAGCCCATCCCCCACCCACCTCTCTCCATCAACCCTATTTGTTCTTTATCATTAAGAGTCTTATATGGGGGTGCCTGGGTGGCTCAGTCAGTTAAGTGTCCAACTCTGAGTTTCGGCTCAGCTCATGATCTCAGGTTTCATGAGTTCGAGTCCCACATTGGGCTCTGTGCTGACAGTGCAGAGCCTGCTTGGGATTCTCTCTCTTCTTCCTCTCTCTCTGCCCCTTCCCCACTCACTCTGTCTCTGCCTCTGTTGAAATAAATAAATAAACTTAAAAAAAGTATCTCATATGGTTTATGTCTCTCTCTCTTCTACCCCATATGTTCATCTATTTCTTAAATTCCATATATGAGTGAAATCCTATGGTATTTGTCTTTCTCTGACTTATTTTGCTTAGCATAATACACTGTAGCTCCATCCATGTCATTCCAAAGGGCAAGATTTCATTCTTTTTGATGGCTAATATTCCATTGTGTATATATATGCCACATCTTCTTTATCCATTCATCAGCCAATGGATATCTGGGCTCGGACAGTCCCATAGTTTGACTATTGTTTTGATAGACACATTCGATTTAAAATCTGAATGCAGGTGAAGAAACAAACTCCGTGGCTATCTGAGTAAAAAGCATTCCAGGCAGAAAGAACAGCAAGTGCAATGGCCCAGAGGCTGGCGAGTGCTTGGTGTGTTGGAGCAACAACAAAGACATCAGTGTGGCTAGAGCAGAGCAAGTAAGGGGAAAGTAGTAAGAGATTAGGCATTGATGGGGGCCAGATTGCATAGGACCTTATAAACAATGACAAGAGTTTGGCTTCTGTTGTATGTGAAACAGTAAATCATTAGAGGATTTTGAGCAGAGAGTAGCAAAATTTGATTTATATTTTAAAGGAGTTTATTTGTTTGTTTATTTACTTATTTATTTTAGGGGGGGCAGAGATGAGGGAGAGGGAGAGAGAGAATCCCAAGCAGGCTCCACACCCAGCATGGAGCCTGATATGGGGCTTGATCTCACGACCATGAGATTATGAGCTGAGCCAAAATCAAGAATCCGATGCTTAACCAACTGAGCCACCGAGGTGCCCCTAAAGGGATTAATCTTTAAGTGGACCAATCATTTTGAGAATAAAATGTGGGAGAATAAGGGTAGAAGCAGGGAAATCAGTCAGTAGGCTTTTAACAATAGCCCAGGTGAGAGACAATGATAGCTTGGACCAGGTGATAGCAGTGAAGGTGTTGAGAACTGATTAGAGTCTGAATATATTTTGAGCTGGAGTCAGCAGGATTTGATGACAGAATGAATATGGGATGTGAGAGAAAGAAAGGAGTCAAAGATGACTCCAAGATTTTTCTCTGACAGCTAGAAGGAGGAACTTAAGTGGGGAAGACTACAGAAGGAGCAGGTTTGGGATGGTGGCAGCAAAGATCAGAAGTTAAGTTTTAGTATTAAGGTTGAGATGCCCAGTAAACACTGAAGTGGAGATGTCAAGAATATAGTTGGATATGCAAGTCTAGAGTTCAAGGTCTGAGATTGCTGAGAGGGTAAGGCACAAAGCCTTTGAATGGCACTCAATCTGGGTAGTATCTTAGCACTGTCCATATAGGGAATAGGAAGCTTGTGCCTCTGTCTAGGAGCATGCTGATTGTACCATGTTCTTTAGAGCTGCTCCACCCAGTGAACAAACGCTGCTATCTTCCACTGTTAGCATCTTTCCTCCAGTCATATAACTGTCCCTAGGTAATAAATACCCATATAAACACTTAAACTCCTTCCTCTTTGGCTCTCTTTCCACTTTCTAACATTACATGGTCACCATACTTTCTGTAATGCATGTTATATTTTACTCCCCAGTAGGAAATCTTGCGATTGTCTCATCAATTAAGAACAAGATCCTCGGAGCACCTGGGTGGCTTACTCGGTTAAGCATCCTACTCTTGCTCACATCATGCTCACATCATGATCTTGTGGTTCATGAGATCAAGCCCCGGATCTGGCTCTGCACTGACAGCAAGAAACCCACTTGGGGTTCTCTTTCTCTCCATCTCTCTGCCCGTCCCCCACACCGGTTCACTCTCTCTCTCAAAATAAATTAAATTTAAATTTAATTAAATTAATTTTAAAAAAAAGAACAAGATCCTCTTCCTTTGGTGTTCACCACAAGGACACAGTATTTTTATTGAGATATAGTCAGCATATATTAGTTTCAAGTATATACAACAAAATGATTCAATATATGTACATATTGTAAAATGATCATCACAATAAATCTAGTTAACATCTATTCCAAATCTTTTCTTCATACTGGATAGTTTGGTTACGAGGAAGTAAGTCAGCCATAATGGTTCAAATATGTCTGCAAATAACTCAGGAGTTAACAGCATGTTAATTTATGGAAACGCTGTCCACATAATGCCTACAGTCTTGTCCCATGAAAGGTGTTCAGTTAAATCTGATTGATTAATCATTTGGGCTCAACCATGTATCATATGAATCTTTACAAACTGTAGGATCTTGAGGAAAGAAGAATCCTCTACTATCTCCGCCCATCACTCCCTGTGATTCCAACTTAGTATCCTCTCACAGGGTGTCTCTTCACCCGGGCTCATGGCAAAGCTTTCTCTTTCGCCTGCTGCTTGATTTTTGTTTTGTTGCTTTTTCTTCTTTCCTGACACTGTCTGCCCTCTGGCATGGGAACTAGCCTCTGACTGGCCTGGTAATGTCCAAAACTCTTTGCAAATTATGCCCAACATAGAGATTGTCCTTGTGAGCCAAGCAAGACTCTGGTGTTACCCCATCATAGCCACACTCATCCCTTAACCCCTTGCAACTACTAATCTATTCTCCAGCACTATGATCACATATTTCACGATTGTTACATAAATAAATAAAATCATGAAGTGTGTATCCTTTTGTGATTGGCTTTGACCACTCTGTATAATTTCCTTGAATTTCACCCAAGTTATTGAATGTATCAGTAGTCCATCCCTTTTTTTTTTCTTTTCTTTTTTTTTTTTTTTTTTTTTTTTACCACTGAGTAATACTCCATGGCATGGGTGTACCACAGTTATTTTTATCCACTTACCCTTCGAAGGATATTTGAGCTGTTTCCAGTTTTGGGGTATCATAAATAAGTCGTTATAAGCATCCATGCACAAGTTCCTGAATAAAGATAAGTCTTCATTTCTCTGAGGTAAATGCCCAGAGTGGAACTGCTAAGTTGAATGGCAAGTCCGTTTTTCAGTTTTGAAAGGAACAAATGATTCCAGAGTCAAATTATTTATTTTTTGAATTTAATTATGACTCAGTCCCCAGAAAGACATTCCCCTGTTTACCTCTTTTTGATTAGAGAACTATCCTTCTCAGAGTCCTGTGGAGTCAGATGAACCTGTATTCAATTCCGCTTCGATCACTTATTAGCTGGGTGAGCTTGAACAACTTATTTACCTTTTTTGAGTTTCAGATTCCCTACTTAAAAATAGGGATAATGATGGTGGAGAAAGGAAGAATTTAACAAGATCAGCAAATAAAGTACTCAGAGCAGAGCCTGCTACACTGCAGCGAGTTATGCTCTCTTTTCACTCCATGGCAAAATAATGATCAAATATTACTTCCAACTTTTTTGGTATATTTGAAATTTTAAAAACCAAAAGAAAGCATAATGTCAGCTCCTTTTGTACATATTTTTAAATTCTTTTTTTATTTATTTTGAGAGAGACAGAGAGAGCGCACACATGCAAGCGGGGTAGGGGCACAGAGAGGTGGAGAGAGAGAACCCCGAGCAGGCTCTGGGCACTGTCAGCACAGAGCCCGATGTGGGGCTTGAGCTCATGAACTGTGAGATCATGACCCGAGCTGAAATCAAGAGTTGGGTGCTTCACTGACTGAGCCACCCAGGCGACCCCATATTCTTTTTTATTAGATGAATTACCTTTAATAGATTCCTTATGCATAATTTTTCCTTGGCAAAACCATTTTCCCTTTCTTCCTATCAATTGTTTGCTGAAGTAATCCTTACAATGCTTGGCAGCAGAAATGAGTTGGTGCATCTCCATTATGCTCTGTGGTTTTTCTCTCTTCCAGGTCAGTGAACAATTTCCTGATGACTGGTCCAAAGGTAAGAAAAAAAAGTCCTTCGATTTATTTGGATTCACTAAATCTTAGCCTCTTGACTGAAGACTATACATGTCCATTTCTTTTCATTATGTCCACATTTTTTATTAGCTGTATATATTACAGACAGAAAAACTGTGGCATAGAGAGGATTAGGGATACACCCAAAAGAACACAGCAAACTAGTGTCAGGGCCAAGGCAAGAACTCAGGAGTATTGATTCTGAATGTATGGCCAGAATTTCCAGAGCGAGAAAAGTCAACAGCCTTTCATGGTGTCAGGTTGCAGTCACACATCCCTCTCGGTGCAGTGGTTGGATGCAGCTTGCCATCTTTAAACTGCTGGCATCGTACTACATGATCTCCAAGGCCATTTTCAGCCCCCAAATGTTCTTTTCCAAGATAGTAATGGAGTGAGAATACTGAAAACCCATGAATTATATAATTTGGGCTCATTTTGGAGAAGCAGGATAATATAGTGAATAAAGGCCGGTGAAGTCTAGAGTCTGGTAACACTGAATTTCGTTCCTACTTTTACCTTCTGCTACCTGTGGGACCTTGAGCAAATTGCTTTACTTCACCTCTCTAAGCCTCAGGTTCCTAATCTATAAAAATGGTACCTATTTCACAAGGTTATTTGTGATGTTAAATGGGACAGCAAATTTAAAGTGCTTACTCTGTCATTATTTTAGAAGGCTGGGAGAGTGGGCAGGAAAAGAGGTGCTTGGCCGCTACAGGGCAAATGTCTCCCGAGTTCAGCTGAGAGGCTGAATTTTGACCCTTGTGTTTCTACGCAGGCTTACCTGATATATTCCAGCAGTGTGGCAGCTGGTGCCCAGAGTGGTATTGAAGAATGCAAGTATCAGTTTGCCTGGGACCGGTGGAACTGTCCTGAGAGAGCCCTGCAGCTGTCCAGCCATAGTGGCCTTCGCAGTGGTAAGGAAAGCCTCGGCCACAGCTCCCTGGACCCCCTGGCCACAGGTTAGAGCCCCACTCTTCAGGGATGACCCCTTGCTACTTCTACTTCCCCGTTCCTCAACCTGGCCTCTGTCCTCTCTCTGGGATCTTCTCTGTCCCTTCTCCATCTTATAAAGCTTTATTTTCTTTCTTCCCAACACCCTCACTGCTCAATGAATGGACCCTGCCTCACCCCCAATCCAATAGCATCGTTGGCCTCCCAGTTGGCTGAATATAAATAGTGTCAGGAGGTAGGTAGGGGTCATAATTCTTCATGCCTCTTAGCCCCTTCCTTCAGCAGCTCAGCAGAGAGGTACAGGCCAAGCAAGGACTGACTTGGACTTGACCTCCCATGGAGAAGCTAAAGAGTGGCCATGTCAGTAAATGAAATAGCTGCCAGTCAGAAGTTCACGACTAGCTAGCATGTGCCCATTAGACTTCGGTATTCCAGGTAGAAATAGGCCTGTGCGCTTTACAACCTGGCTTTCAGATTCATCTCCTTCCCCATTTCTTCCTCTGGCTCTTCACCACCTAAATCCTTTACAACCATGTATGTAAACAGTAATCTAGCCACCTACTCATAATGTGTGACCTGAAAAGATGGGAGGGAAGAAGCATAGTGCTGAGACCAAGGCTGGAGCAGACCATGGAAGTAAGGTACATTATAAAGGTGGGGAAATAGGACGGAGCTGGGGAAGGAGGGCATAATGATGGAAGGAAGGATACATTTATTTATCCTATATTTATTATAATAATAAAGGAAGACAGCATGACTGATACCTTGAGTTACAACCCCTCCCTCTAACTCACCCATTTTTGGTTCCTGCCCAGCTAATCGGGAGACAGCGTTTGTACATGCCATCAGCTCTGCTGGGGTCATGTACACTCTGACTAGAAACTGCAGCCTCGGGGATTTTGACAACTGTGGCTGTGATGACTCCCGCAATGGGCAGCTGGGTGAGTAGTGATACTGCTGCGGTGGGTAGGGCAGGCCATAAAGTTCACTGTGAATGAAAAGTCTGGTGGGTAGTTTGGCGGGGGTGAAGAAGCGTTGTATTCTTCTAAATCTGAGGAAAATCAGGGCCAACTGGTTTAAGCCCAAACCCTAGAGTGACAAACCAGGCTAAATGTAGCTTGGGGCCCTCGTCCAACTGAATGGTTTCCTTAAACACAATAAAGTAACAACACTCCCCGAGGATTCAATCCTTCTACTCCCTGAAAATAGGGGGGTTTCATTCTGTTGCCTGTCCCTGTTTCCTCCCCACTCTTTACCTCTACTGTCCTCTCCCATCCTCTCTGCCCTCCAGCTCAACTTCCAACTTTGTTGTTCCATATTATTTTCATTGTGCCGCCTCCCCGGCTCCATGCTGGCACTTTTGCTCGCCTTTTTCCTGGGCCATTTTGTGGATGTCAGTGGCTGGCCAGGCACGTGAACACTCTGCCCAAAGGCCAGAAGCACTGTGTGTAGAGACCCCAGCATCCTGCAGAGAATCCACTCGGCAACTATTTACGTCATGGAGTCCAGAGCAAGGGACTGGATGAGGCTGGAAGTGGAAGCCCAAAAGTGGCCTAAACAAATCTGGGCTGAAACTAATCTGGAGACAGGGCACCCGCCCAACCCCAAATCCAGTTAGAAACAGCAGCTAGGAGGCTCCAAGCCCGCCTGCTCAACGACCTTTCCTCCCCTTGCACTTTTCCAGGGGGCCAAGGCTGGCTGTGGGGAGGCTGCAGTGACAACGTGGGCTTCGGAGAGGCAATATCCAAGCAGTTCGTCGATGCCCTAGAGACAGGACAGGATGCCCGGGCCGCCATGAACCTGCACAACAATGAGGCCGGCCGCAAGGTGAGTCCTGCAGCCCTGGGGGTTAGGCAACTGGCTCCATCCACCATGAGCCCTAGGTGCGGACGGCTCTTCAGTTCATTTAACAGATTGGAAAAACGAGGCACCAAGCCGGCCAGCCACGTGGATTAATCAGCTGGACGCCTAGCAACCCTCCCTCACCCCCCCCCCCACCGCCCCTGGCATACTTCCCCCAGCCTCATCCCCGATCAGCTCACTTCTAGCTCTCTCCCCAGGCGGTGAAGGGCACCATGAAACGCACGTGTAAGTGCCACGGCGTGTCCGGCAGCTGCACCACACAGACCTGCTGGCTGCAGCTGCCTGAGTTCCGCGAGGTGGGCGCGCACCTGAAGGAGAAGTACCACGCGGCTCTCAAGGTGGACCTGCTGCAGGGTGCCGGCAACAGTGCGGCCGGCCGCGGCGCCATCGCCGACACCTTCCGCTCCATCTCCACGCGGGAGCTGGTGCACCTGGAGGACTCCCCGGACTACTGCCTGGAGAACAAAACGCTAGGACTGCTGGGCACCGAAGGCCGAGAGTGCCTGCGGCGGGGGCGGGCCCTGGGCCGCTGGGAGCGCCGCAGCTGCCGCCGGCTCTGCGGGGACTGCGGACTGGCGGTGGAGGAGCGCCGTGCCGAGACCGTGTCCAGCTGCAACTGCAAGTTCCACTGGTGCTGCGCCGTCCGCTGTGAGCAGTGCCGCCGGCGGGTTACCAAGTACTTCTGCAGCCGCGCCGAGCGGCCGCGGGGGGGCGCGGCGCACAAACCCGGGAGAAAGCCCTGAGGGTCTCCTTTCTCCCCTCCTTTCCCCATTTGTCCTTGGCTTCTTTTAGAGACCCCAGTAATAGAGGAACCTAGGGAACTGCCCCCCCCCCCCACATTCCCCTGCCCAGGGATCCCAAGAGGGAGAGACGCTACAATCTCTCCAGAGCTTGCCACTTTCCACCCCTTTCCTAGCTCTTTGCTCTCCTCCAGTCCATCATCACCCTGCATCATCCTCACGGGCCACACAGGTCTGAGGGCTCCCAGTTCTGAGATTCTGAGCTTCTGATTCTCCTTGGACTAGGATGAGAATAAGCGTTCCTTCCTCCCCTTCCTAACTGCCCTAACGCCTGACCTAGCCTATACAGCCGTAGGGAACCGGAAGAACACTTCTCTGATATACAGGGTCAGGCTAAAGCCCTGCTTCTCTCTTTTGCCCATTTTCTTGCCCTCCCGCCATTTCCCCATTTTCCTACTGCCAGGTCTCTACCATAGCCACATCTTTTTTTTTTTTTTTTTTTTTTCCCTGCAGAGCTCCTTCCATGCTTTTGATTCCTTGCTAACTGTTGACAGGCACCCCAGTGATCTCTAATGCTTCCTCTCTCCTTTTCCCTTTCCCTTAAGAAAAATTGTGACAAAACTGATGCAGGAGAAAGCATGTCTTTGGGGGTCGTTTCCTAGAGGCAGGGCCTGAAGATGGAAGCAGTGGGAACCCCAGAGTGCCGACTTGCTGGAAACCAGGGTGTTCCTCATCCTTGTGATACACGTCTCCAGTGGACTTTGCCAGTCAGACCTTCATAGACAATCACCCCAGGTGCTCCAGGCAGACCCCCGTGTCTAGGAACTATGTAAGGGCAGATTACGAGTCACTTGCTATCTTTTAACGTCAGCTTCTCCCTACTGTTTCCTCCTAGCCGCCGCCGTTACCTCTTCTCCTTCCCCAAATGATCCTTGTTCCTTTGAGCCAAGACTGAGCTAAGGAATGTCAATTTCCCATTCAGATCCCAGCTTGCACTGGGATCTGGAGCAGGAGCAGGAGAAGCTGGGACCCTTTCTTTTCACAAACCTGGATCTCAAACAGGCAGGATTCAGGGCATTGGATACTTTCCTTCAATAGGTAAACTTCCTGCAGGAAAACTTTCCAATAGGAAGTTCAGCACCTCGAACTTTAATTTATTACAGTCACTGTGATATGTGCCTTCTTTTCTAGGTATTGAACTTATTCCTGGGGACACAGGTAAGGGTGAGTGGAAGATAGAACGTCTAGGCCCTCTCTTCCCTTCCACCTTGCCAGAACACTATCCTCCCTTAAGCCTCACTTCCCTGATGGCCTAAGTAGTTACACTGGTCTGTATGAGGCTAATCTGCCAACAATTAGTGAATAATCCACATAAGTCTTTCACCAATACATTCACTCAGTAGCTAAGAGCTCACTGCTTGTGGTGCTTGAGACAGAAGCAGTCCAGCAGGGACTTGCTTCTGAAAGAGGGCTCTGGAAAGAGAAGAGCCAAATCCCTGACAGACTGCAGCCCAAGGAGCTTCCCAGCCATCTCCCTTCTCCGAGGCTGGCCCTGGGTCTGGGCATGGGGCAGCTGTTTAGGAGAACTGGTCAGATGCCAGACCACCTCATCCTACCTCCCAGAGTAGGAGACAGCACAGAAATGTGGCTCTCAATAGGTAACAGGGGCTGAGGCTTTAGGGGCCAACCCGGGACAGTGGAAAGACTCCTCTTATATTCCAGACTGGGGCAGTGGCCAGGTCAGACCCCAAACCCCTAGTCTCTTCCCTACATATCCTCTGGTCTTTGAACACTTACTGAGGAGAGAGGTTGCCTGTCCTTCCTCACAGGGACACACTGCCCTTCAGGGTCTCCTATTGCTTCATTTCCAGTACAATCAGCAAAAGGCCTTTTGCTCAGTCCCTCAGCTTTGATCTGAGCCTGTTGAATCTCTCAACTTGATCTTTCCTAATCAAGCAGCAACATATACTAACCTGGCTGTCCCACTTGGCAGAATTACTTGACAGTGTGCGGTAAGAAAATCTGGCAAGGCAGCTAGAAGATACAAAAGTACAATATCGGACAGGAAAGCTGCATTCTCCAGGAGGTCTCTCAGCACAAAAGTAGGACTATTGTGCTTCGTATTTGATAATTCCAGGTCAGTACTTGAAACCTGTCATGCTGCCAGAAAGTTCTTTCACAGGGGGTTGTTTTGTATTCCCAAATGGCTATAATTGATACCAGCTTCATCTGAGTTCTATAAAGAAAACATTACTGAGCTACCTTAGATCTGCATTGCTTTTTTTTCCTTTTTTGCATTATCCATTCATTCATTTGGTCATTCAACAAACGCTGGAGTGCAAGTCCAGTGGCGAACAACACAGTGACCTCCCTGCATTCATGGAGTTTAGGTTCTCTCTTATACTCAACCACCCGGGCTGTGTTCCCCTTTGCAAACATGGACAACTCCAGAACAGCTGCTTGGGAAGACACCTTGGAGGTCAGCTAGTCAAAGCTTTTGTTTTACAGATTAAAACTGATGCTGAAAAAGATGTCTGGCTTGTTCAACCAACTAGTAAGTTGCCATGGGGTGCACAGTGGAACCCTGGTCTCTTCCCTTCTCTTGTGTTACTCTTTAAGGCCCATCTGTCTCCAGCAGAGGAGAGAAGCAGAGGGGGATCCTGAGAAGTGACAAGGATATGGGTTTGTGCAGGGGGTGGGGGGTGGGGAGAGTGGTGCAAAACACTGTCTCCTTCCTGTCCCTGGCCTCTGAGCCTACACTCAGGCAGGGGTTTCTTTTCTTGAAAAGAATCCCAGCCTCAACTGGCCTTAGCAGCAGGTTAGGGTCGTGCTCAGTGCTGGTGGTGCTGGCGGTGGTGGGAGGGGAGGGCAGGCCAGGGCACCCGCCTATTGTGGGTCTGGATTGGATGCTTCCACTCATTCATTTCCTTTTAATTAACCCGCATTCCTGGAGGAGAAATATTTATGTTGGCTCCCATAGAGGCAATCCGCAGACTGGAAAGAAGGGGGAAGAAAGCCTGCCTTAGCAAAACAATATCTCTAAAGAGCTCAAGAAGAGAAAATAAGAGAACAAAATGCCATTAAAATAGCCTTCTACCCCCACTGGAGTCAATGAAAACTTCATTTCACATGCTAATCCCCCACTCCGCCCCTTCTCTTCTCACAACACCTTTCCTGAAAGTGTTTGGGAAAAGTCTTCGCAGTCAGTACACAGCTCCCTGCAGCTCAGACTTCTCCTTGTGTTAGTTCAGGGCCCCAAGTGGGGCCCTCGCTCCAGCAGCGGCTTTTTTCTCCCCCCCTTTAATTTAAACAAAGACTTCAGAGTTCATCAACCTCCCACTGAAATTCACAGCTGCTGAACAAACTAATCCCCTCTCCCGGCCTTTCTTCCCTTCAATGGGCTCTTGGCTTCAAAGACACTTTGGGAAAGGACTTTGCTGGGGCTCACACTGCTTCATCAATAGAAGTTAGTGCAAGTATTATCTGAAGAGCAAGTGGCTTTACAAACAAATACTGCCTAACAATCCCTTCCTCCCAAACATACACATCTAGCCCACAGACATGATGGGATCTACAACAGGATTAGAGATAGTACCCCTGGCTTCACACCCAGCCCCTTTGTGCAGCTGAGCTCAGCCCTGAAGTGGTGTGGGGAAAACCCCGAGAGCTGCATGTCAGGCACGGATGGAGATACACACACACACACACACACGGCCACAAATGCTGCGAGGAGAAAGTCTTGCAGCCTAATTCAGTGCCACCCTCCTTTCTTCAACTCTCTTGACTCCCCATCTGTCCCCAAGCCCTTCTCCTGTCTTTCTGGGGTGCGGGAAGCAAGAACAAAGAGGCTAGGAAGAGAGGTAAGGGCAAAACAGGACCCAGAGGAGACAATCATTGGGAGATGACTGAGGAAACCAAATCGAAGCGGCTTTATTGCCCATTGAGTACAACAGTGCTTCAAATGCAAAGTCCAACCATGAAGAGTGCAGCCAGAGGAGGCAGCCCTGAGACGTGTGGGGGCTGAGGAGGAGAAGGGCCTCCAGCCCTTGAGGAACAGTGCCAGAAAAGTCTTGTTAATGTGGCTCCTATTCAAGAAGTGGGCTCATAATCACACAATGGAAGGACCTTGGGCCAGGGCTCAGGCAGGTCAAGTCAGGACCATTCCCTGCAGGCAGAGGTCTCTCTGCTCCTATTTCATAGCCTAAGACAGCTCCCAGCAAAAGACAGTGCACCCCTTCTCCTTTCCACCTGACCTAGCCCACCCTTATGATGCTGGCAGAAGAGAAGGTCCTTGTAAAAAGCATCTAATAAGTTCCTTCTCTGGGTTCTGCTCAGCACCCATGCCTCACATTCATGATTTGTTCAGAAGATGAACAATAGTCAACTCTACCCCAGCCTCTGGGGCTCAGAGGAAAATGGACCCGGAAATAGGAACTCAGAGGCAAGGAGAAGGTAAGGCCAGGCTCTTAACTCACAGAAGGGGAGAAAGAAAAGCCCCACAAGATGGGTACAGCAGAGGTAGACTTGGAGGTAATAATCCTGTTCACCCCCTCAGAAGCCACTTAAACAGAATATCTCTGGGGTTCTTAAAGAGGCCCTGCCCCAGGTCCTGTCAGAGTACAGAGTCAGGGAAGGTGAAGAACCAGCTATATGCTCTGCCTCTGATGCTGCGAGAGCCTTGGGTGGATTCTACAAGGCCAGGCATAAAAGGGTGAAAAGCACCCTGCCAACTTTAGAGGCAAGCTCACAGCATCATATACCTGGCAGCAAGGGAAGAGGGTAGGGAAAAACAAACAGAATCTCTTCCGAAATTCCCCCTTTTCCACAGGGAGGAGGTAAGTAACAGCAGAAGTAGCCTCCTGGCAAGAGAGGCTGCCTGGTTTACGTGTGCAGCTTATGAGCAATGGTGAGGACGGCCTTCAGGACAGGCATGAAGCTGGAGACCTCGCTGAAGCTGCTGCAGCCCACCACCTGGGCATGCACTGCAAGGCCCTGCTCAAAGCTTCCTGCGTCCACACATCGGGCAACCTCATGGAGCCCAGCCAGGACATGAGGCGAGAGCTGTGGAGGGATCGACCCTTAGGTCAGGGAGCCCAACCCAGCCCCTACCCTGGCAGGACGGAAGGGTAAGAGAGGATTAAGTTCTGGAGCCCAGTCCGGGCAAGATGTATGTATTGTGTGGGGGAACCCAGGTCGGTGAGACCTATGGGAGAGGACACTGGGCTCCCTTTGGCCATGGGTGATGGAGGGCAGGGGGCAGAGGTGCACCACGAAGCGTACTTACTGTCCCCTGGCAGAGCTTCTCATATAGACATTCTAGACGTTGGGCTGCCTCATCCAGCTTCCGTTTTGTCTTCTGCAGGGAGGGAAATGGATTCTGACTCCAGCCCCTAAGACTAACACTACACAGGACTATAAAGAATCACAGTATATTAGAGCTGGAATGGCTTAATGCTACTGCTTTCATTTCACAGGAGAGGAAATGAAGGCCCAAAGACGGTAAGTGACTTGCTCAAGCGGACACGGTCGGTGAATGAATGGCAGGTCTCCTACTCCTAGCTTTCACCTACCCTCCAGTGCCCTGGGCTGCCTTTCCAAGAATTAAGCCTCAATGCCTCTGGGCCCTGCTACCGAGAAGCTGGACTCAGACCAGACGAGCCCCATGTCCCCGCATGGATATCAAATAAGTACAAGACACAGGGGCCCAGGGACCATGAGAAAAGAGTCACACAAGGAACTGATGAACAGCTCAGAAATCCTGGGACTAGCTAGTGGTGTGAGGAGAACATCGTGGGGAAGGCTCAGACTTACTAAATCAGCGGCAGACAGGGAGCAGCGTCGTAGAAGCTTGTCAAAGCTAATCTTCAAGGACCGATGCTCTGGGGGCAGCTCCTTCCTTTCCACCTTCTCAGGTGGCCGCTGCTGAAGCTGCTGAGGAAGGAGCAGGGAGACAGGATAGATGGGCAAGATTTCCTTTTCACAGCTGCCCTACAGACTAGTCCTCAGTGACTCAGTGTCACACTTCTCCCGCTGGAGCAGAACAGAGTCGGGGAGAAGGACACCCCCTCTTCTCTGCGGTAAGGACATTTGGTACCTGCCTGCGCCAGTTCCCCAGCGCAGAATCTGCCTCCCTCTTGAGGAAAGAGGCCCATCTTCCATGTTCCCTGCTTTTCTATACCCAAGAAGAGTTGGAAAGCAGAGGGGAACATGCTGCTCCTGTCACCTGCAGGCTGAGTTCTCCTGGTGCTCCTGGGGGAGCATGGCCCACACCAGGGACAGAAGGCTGGGAGTAAAGGACCCCTCGTGGCTCAGAGGTGAGGCTCATAACTGGAGTGGTAATCGGTGCTGGGGGCATAAATGTCTCTGGCAACTAGAGACAGAGAAAGAAAGGCATATGAGTCTAAGCTGAGAGACTTCCTAGGCCCTGGTTTGAGAGACTGACTGGACTTGTGAGTGAGCAAGGGAACAGAATAGTGAGTAGGGAACCAGGAAATAGGGAGACTGGTATCTGCACGCAAGAAGGAAAGAGAAGACAGGTGAGGGGAGAATAATGAGTGGGGAAAGAGACAGGACAGAGTGTGTGACGAAGAAGGGGACTGGGCTGAATTCAGCAAGAATGTAGGTCATTGGTGAATGTATGAGGGATAAGTGGCACGAGATGCATTGACCTTTTTCCTCTGAAGGTTTGTCCTGGGCACTGGGGCATTTTTCAAGGAATCTTGAGGTCCTGCATAGCACAAAGATAGAGGTATTTAGGGGCATGGTCAGGAACGTTGTTAATTTTTAGCCTAAAGGCCAGCAAAATTATTTCAGTTGGAGACTACCACACATCCCTCTGCAGACCAGCCGTACTCTCAGCTGACATTCTCCAACCCAATGGCCCCCAGTTTACTGGCCTGAGGAAAGACTCCTAATAAGGTGGTAGTGGCAAGGGGAGGAGAAGGAGGCAATGATCCAGAAAAGGGAAGCAGTGGAAGGAAGACTGACCTGGGGGAACAGTCGAGAGGCCAGTGGTTGGGAGGGCATTAGAGCATGGAGCACCAGGCCCTCCTGGAGGGTGTGTCACAGGGAAGCTGACAGGAGGGGCTGGGGACTGGAAGCTCATAGGGCTGAGACCTGGGAGTCTCACAGGAAGCAGAGGGAGCTGTTGAGCAGTCTCAGCCAGGGAGGCAGAGCCAGGCTGTATGGTGTCTGGGGGTGCCATGGGTGGAGGTGGACCAGGAGGAGGCCATGTTCCAGGGAACCCCGTGGGGTTAGGAACTTGTGCCTTTTGCTCTCTTAACAGTGGTGGCTCAAATAAAGCTGAAAAGGAAGAGAAACAGGTCATTTGCCACCAAACTTCAATTTGGGAGAGATTCAGATCATATCAGGGAAGAATAAGGCAGCAATAAAATGAACAAACAAACCTAATAATGATAATAATAAAACATTAGTATGTGTGTATGGAGAACTGTCATTTATAAAGTACTTTTAACTATTCCTCAATTGATCCTAAAAATAATTCTGTAGGGTTGAAATGACCAACATAACATCTACTATCATTTTTCAGAAGAAATAGAGTGGCTAAGTCTGTTGCCCATAGATACAAAGCCAGTAAGCAATAGTACTGGGGATTCAGACTTCAAATTCCAAGCTCCTCTCACTACATATTAGGCATTATGCCCCCAAAATCCATGCTGGCCATGCCAACTGTCTTCCTTTGTGCTCTCCCCAGACAAACCTTTACTCACTCACTCACTCACTCACTCACTCACTCACTCACTTACTCACCAGGCCTTACCCCAGGGCCCAAGGGCAAAGGCTGGGCTGCCTGGGGCCCAGGTGACCCGTAGTCACTTATATTATGCATTCTGGAGCTTTGATAAGGGCTAGAATGGGAAGGTGTCAAGGGTGTCACTAGAGGTGTGAAAATCCTTGGCCTTAGAGATGGAGTTGGAACCTGTGAAGAGAAAAAGGGTCATCACTTGGAAAGGAAAAAAAAGCTAAATAATTGAAAATAGAAAAACAATAGAGAATGTGAAGCAAAAAGCTGGCTTTTAAAATGAAAATCAACAGAACTGGTAAGTCTATATAAAAAGTGACAAAGATGGGGGAGGCGCCTGGTGGCTCAGTGGGTTAAGTGTCCGACTTCGGCTCAGGTCATGATCTCACAGTCCGTGAGTTTTAGCCCCACATCGGGCTCTGTGCTGACAGCTCAGAGCTTGGAGCCTGCTTCAGATCCTGTGTCTCCCTCTCTCTCTGCCCCTCCCCTGCTCATGTTCTGTCTCTCTCTGTCTCAAAACTAAATAAAAACATTAAAAAAAAAAGTGACAAAGATGAAGAAATAAGACAATTTCATCAAACTCAGGGATGACACAGGGAATAATACAACAGTCCTTACAGCTGCTAATAAGATAATAGAGGAATACAAATAACAAAGTTACAAGTAACTTTATGTTAATAAATTTGACAACTTAGAAGAAATGAACCAATTCCTCAAGAACCACACTCAGCCAAAATTAAATAGATTACTTGAATAGTCCTAAAACAATTAAAGGAATTTAATTTGTCATTGAAAAGCCCTCCCCCAAATAAATCCTTAGGCCTAGATAATTTTACTGGAGAATTTTACTAAACATTCAAAGAATTAACACAAAGTTTATACAGTCTCTTCCAGAAAATAGAAGAAGGAACATTTCCTAACTCATTTTATGAGGTATTACCCTGAAACCAATGCCAGACAAAGACAGCACAAAATAAAACTATAGGCCAATATTTCTCATGAACTTAGGCACAAAAATCCTCAGCAAAATTTGTACAAATTGAATCTAACAATGAACTATTTTATTTTATTTTAAAGAAAGTAACAGCGTGCAAGCAGGGGAGAAGGGCAGAGGGAGGGAGGGAGGGAGAGGAAGAGAAAGAGAGAGAGAGAGAGAGAGCGAGAGAGAATATCCCAAGTAGGCTCCACACTCAGCACAGAGCCCAATGCAAGGCTCAATCCCACAACCCTGGGACTATGACCCGAGCAGAAATTAATAGTTGGATGCTCAACCAACTGAGCCATCCAGGCACCCCAAACAATGAATATAAAAAACAGTAACATACCACAATCAAATGGAATTTATTCCAGATGATATAAGGCTGGTTCAGTATATTTAAATCCACCATAATCCACCATAACAACAGGCTAACAAAGGAAAATTGTTTAAAATGATAACAGGAAAATATCTGACAAAATTCAACAATCATTCATGACTCAGCACACTAGGAATAGAAGGAAACTTGCACAGACTCATAAAGAGCATCTACAAAAAAACCTACAGCTAACATCATACTTAATGGTGAAAGACTGGATATTTTCCCTTTAAGGTTGGAAAAAATCAAGGATGTTCACTCTCGCTTTTCTAAGTTTAGTACTACAATAAGGCGAGAGAAAGAAATTAAAGCATACAGACTAGAAAAAAATCTATCTCTATCTGCAGACAACATGACTGTCTACGTAGAAAATCTCAAGGGATACACAAAAAACTCCTAGAACTAAGAAATGAGCTCGGGAAACTCACTTCTGAACATTGAAACGTCACAAGATACAAGATTAACACAAAAATATCAACTATATTTCTCTATACCCACAATGAACAAAGGGCAATCAAAATTAAAAATACAATTACCATTTGATTTCAAATTGCTCAAGAGAAATGAAATACTTAGGTTTGAAATGAACAAAACATGTCAGGATCTGTATGATGAAAATGATAAAATGCTGATGGAGATAGCATTAGAGAGATATACCACGTTCACAGGTGAGAAGATTCAACACAGTAAAGATACCAATTCTCCCTACCTTAATCTAGAATTCCTGTCAACATTTCAGCAAGTTTCTTTGTAGACATAGACAAGCTTATTCTAAAACTTAGGTGGAAAGGGTAAGGTCCTAGAATACCCAAAGTAATTTTGAAAAAGAGAAACAAAGTGGGAGGAATTACTCTTCCTCATGCCAAGACTTATACAGAGATAGTATTCAAGACAGAGGGCACTGTCAGAGGGAAAGACACACAGATCAATAGAACAGAATTGAGATCTGAGAAGGAAATCCATATAAATATGCCCAGTTAATTATTTTTAAGTCTATTTATTTTAAGTCTCCCAGCGTAAGCAAGGGAGGGACAGAGAGAGGGAGAGAGAGAAAATCCCAAGTAGGCTTCACACTGCCAGCATGGAGCCCGATGTGGGGCTCAAACTCACGAAACCATGAGATCATGACCTGAGCTGAAACCAAGAGTTGGACGCTTAACCAACTGAGCCCACTCAGGCACTCGCCAGTTAATTTTTGGCAAAGGAGCAAAGTCAATTCAATGGAGTAGAGACAGCCTTCTCAATAAATGATTATGGATATCCATTGGCAAAAAAAAAAAAAAAAAAAAAGAAGCTTCACTATACTTCATGCCACATGCAAAAATTAATTCCAAATGGAACATGGACTTAAATGTAAAACATACGGGGCGCCTGGGTGGCGCAGTCGGTTAAGCGTCCGACTTCAGCCAGGTCACGATCTCGCGGTCCGTGAGTTCGAGCCCCGCGTCAGGCTCTGGGCTGATGGCTCAGAGCCTGGAGCCTGTTTCCGATTCTGTGTCTCCCTCTCTCTCTGCCCCTCCCCCGTTCATGCTCTGTCTCTCTCTGTCCCAAAAATAAATAAACGTTGAAAAAAAAATTTAAATGTAAAACATAAAACTAAAACTTTTAGAAAGAACACAGGAAAACTCTAGAGGACCTTGGACTGGCAAAGAGTTCTCAGACTTGACACAGAGGTCATGATCCATAGAAGGAAAACTATAAACTGGACCTTATAAAATTAAAAATTTTTGCTCTGGGAAGGACCCTGTTTAAAAAATGAAAAGACAAATTCTTACATAGTTACACACACACACACACACACGAATACATATAAAATCGGTGAAATCTGAATCTATGGATTGTATTAATATAAGTTTCTTAGTTTTGATATTGTGCTATAGTCATGTGTGACTAGCATGACGTGGGGTGGGGATGTGCTACATGAAACTTCCCAGTACATTTCTTTGCAACTTCCTGGGAATCTACAATTATTTCAAAATAGAAAGGAGAGTGGAAGAGGGGGAGAGACAGAGAAAGAGAGACAGAGTAGGAGAAGGAAGAGGACAGAGGGGAAAGAAGGGGGAAGGAAGAAAGAAAATTAGGGTGAGAATTGAAGGTGGGACAGGATGAATCATCAGAGCTTCTGCCTAATACCTCTATTCGCAATCTTGCTGGATTTTGTTCCCCAGCCCTTCCAGTAGGCTCCTGGTATAAGTTAACAGCACCCAAACCATCTGGGCACAGTGGCCAGGAACCTGGGAGTTAGTTCCCCAACTTCACGGACTCCTCTAAACCATCACTAATTTCTGCCAATTCTACCTATTAAATATTTTAAAGCTAACCTCACTCTCCAGCTTTAGATCATTTCATTTCCTCATCATTTCTTGCTATTGCCTCCTAGATGCCTCCTTTCTAAACTCATGGCTAGCCATTGCCCTGCATAAGACCATTCAATAGCTCCTGACTGCTATCAATTTCAGGGTCAGGTCTAAGATCTTTAGCACAGAATTCCATGCCCTTCCTGATTTATCGCCTACCTGTTACTCAAACTTCACCTAACCTCACTCCTCTGCCACAAACAACTATTTTGCAGTTTCATTAAAATATTAGTAATTCCTCAAGTGGGCTTTGCTTACTCTCCCTTCAATGCTTTCATACATGCTGTTCCCACTGCTTGAAATAGCCTTCACCAGGGCACCTGGGTGGCTCAGTAGGTTAAGCGTCTGACTCTTGATTTCATGTCAGGTCACGATCTCACCATTTGTGACATCGACCCCCAGGTCAAGCTCTGTCCTGACAGCACAGAGCCTTCTTGGGATTCTCTCTCTCCCTCTGTCTCTGTCTCTCTCCTGCTTGTATGCTCGCTCTCGCTCTCTCTCTCAAAATGAAGAAAAAAAAACTTAAAAAAAAAAGAGTTTTCACTGACCCCTTCCTTTGCCTAAATAACTTAAAAAAAATTTTTTTTAATCTTTATTTATTTTTGAGAGAGAGAGAGAGACAGAGTGTGAATGGGGGAGGAACAGAGAGAGGGAGACACAGAATCCAAAGTGGGCTCCAGGCTCTGAGCTGTCAACACAGAGCCCAACACAGGGCTTGAACTCACAAACTGTGAGATCATGACCGGAGCTGAAGTCAGATGCTTAACTGGCTGAGCCACCCAGGTGCCCCCCCTTGCCTAATAACTTTTAATCTTCAAGATTCAGATCAAACATCATACTCATTCTGAAACATTCCCTAAACTTCCCCTGCTCCCCCCAAAAGTTGCTTTCTTCTGTGGGATCCCATGGCACCTTATCATACCGCAATTATGACATTTATGATTAGGAGCTAATTAGGGGCATGAATCATAGTTTGGCCACCTTTCTGTTCTAAGAACCTAATAGTTGCTCAATAAGCAGTTATTAGAAAAATAACTCGATCTATGCTCTCGTTGGGAATTTTCATCATTTTTGTTCCCTAATATATTCTAACTGCCTAGAACCATGCCTGGTACTTGGTAGACATTTGATAAATATTTTTGAATGATGAACAAACCAGGTCTTACCTGCTGAGAAAACTGGAATCCCAATCTGTAAGATGATGCTTCTTTAGAGTGGGGGGTAGCCCCCACAACAACCCGGGGGAAGGGAAAAGGAGGACACTGTTGGCCCATGACACCAGGCCCCTGGGCATGAAAAAGCCGATCTCTCAGCTGCTGAATTGGTGGCTACAAAAGTTATGACAATGAAGAACTGTGTTAATTAGAATTAAAACAAGCAAATGTCCTCTCTTACAAGCCTGGCCCCATATAGCATTCAAACTTCAGTTTATTTCTACACTTCAGCCACCTTAGATAATTCAAAGGTTCCCAATCCCTGCCAAGCCTCCTTCCTTTCTGTTCCTTCTGCCTAGAATGCTCTACATCTGCTGGTAAGCTACTTCTCTTTGAAGGTCCAGCTCAGCTGTTTTAACCACTGGAAAGCCTTCCTTGATTACTCTGGGCAAAACCAGCCCCTTTCCTGGAGTCCCACAGCACTTAGTATAAGCTTCTGTTGTGACACTGTAAGTTATTGACAACTGATTTCCCCCATGGAACTGTGAGCTTCCTGAGGGACTAGGTATTATCTATCCCAGAACGTCCATGTTTTGCATAGTGCCTGGAACGTGGAAGTGCTCAGCCAGTGGTAGATGACTGAAATGGCTTGCTCTCTCTACATGGCCCCACTCACCTGAGTACAGTCCCTGGGTAGGTAGCTCATGGCAGTGGCCAGGCTGCCCTGGGATGCCAGGAGGTTGGCATACTGAGTGACCCTGTAGGTTGTGGCAGGGCCTGAGCTCACCCCATCAGGACCCCGCAATAGCTCCAAGCTCCTATTCAGGACCATCACCTTCTCCATCAGGTCCTATAGGAACAAAGACAAGACAGTCAGGCCTCTTCAAAGCGCATCCTGCTCTCTAAGCCTAGGCAGTTCACCCAGGGACTTCCCATTATGGGTATGAGGGTACTTGGCCATAGCCAGCTACAGATAGTAGGTGACGATACATCTAGTTAGAGAAGGGCCATTGGTGTTAGCACTAACTTCAACTGGGCCTATCTGGGTCTTAGACTCTTGTACATCTCTGCCTCTTTGTTTGCTCTCTTTACTCTTTACTCTGCTAGTACATCATCAATTTCAGGCTCTGGTATACTACTGTTTCATCTGTGACTTTGTCTTCCTATGAATCTGTGACTCCCACCTTCTCTGGTTACCTGCAAGGTGTCTGGTATAATTTAAATCCACAGAACTTTTCAGAGCAGCTAAGAGAAGGCCCAGGCTCACAATTACTCAGATAGAGAATAAACTCGTATTAACCAAACCTGAAGTGGGAAAAAATTAGGAAGGTTAATACCTAAGCAGCTATTTATTGCTCAGTCTCCCCTGACTGAGAAGGGGGGAGGGAGGTGCTGGCTCATCCCTGGGAGAAGGGCCCTTTTCTCCTCCCTAATATCCCTGATTCCAGCCTGGGGTACACAGAAGACTCGCCTCTGATGTCCCTACACATCCCTACCACTAGCCTCTCCCAAGATCCTGGTATGGAGTGACCAGTGCCCTGTAGAGAAGGAGTACCTGTAGAGCCAGGGGGGATGAAGCCTGGTGGCATTTTGCCCAACACTCCACCAGCTGCTCCACATTCCCTGAGCACACATAACAGAGTCTGGCTTCAGAGGTCAGTGCTCTGCCACCCTCCTGTTCCATGCGCATACCCAGCATGTCTGCAGAGAGATGGAAATTTTTTTAAATTTTTTTTTCACGTTTATTTTTGAGACAGGGAGAGACAGCATGAATGGGGGAGGGTCAGAGAGAGAGGGAGACATAGAATCTGAAACAGGCTCCAGGCTCTGTGCGTCAGCACAGAGCCTGACGTGGGGCTCAAACTCACGGACCGCGAGATCATGACCTGAGCCGAAGTCGGATGCTTAACCGACTGAGCCACCCAGGCGCCCCAAGATGGAAATTTCTTTAATGGCACAGCTTCCCTGTGCTTCTCCTCATTCTGCTGTTTGGAAATAGGTGGAGGACCATGAGCTGTGGGACAAGTGACCACAGTGGCTTTGGACAATACTGAGGCCAACCTTGCTCTACAATAAAGGGCAGAACTCTTGCATCACGATGTGATGAGAAAAAGTAAAACAGAACAACTAATGATCCCTACTGAAAGTAGGAAGATGCACTGTAGTCCTTGCCTCCTGGCTAAACCAGACCTTGGCCCTGACAACATGGCCTAGCCTCCCAGAGCTCAGGCTGCTCCTCTGCCTTCTCCCTCAGTGTGTCCATTAACTCCACGTTGCAGTGACACCACTCCATCCCGAAGCCTAGGGCTACCTACCACAGAGCTCAGGGAATTTCTCTGGCCCTGAGTATGTCAGTAGCAAGGCCAGTGCCTCTCTCCAGTTCTGCAGGCTACAGGTACACACCATATCCTTCCAATTCTTCCGTACAACACAGGCTAGAAGCTGTAGTGGGCAGAGAGCGAAGGAGGCCATCAGCCATCCATCTAGCACAGGCAGCAGGAGTCACACACAGGGACATGCTAAGAAAAGCCACTCGCAAGCAGGTCTCCTCTTAGACCACTGACTAGGGGTTGGGGGTGAGGTAGGGGTGGCTGCAGTTGGAAGAGAGGGATCCCGGCAGATCTTCTGAACGCCAAGGTGTGGGCATCCACCTGACAAAGTCCAAGTAATCCCCTCCCCTCCCCTCCTTCACAGTGGGCAGTTACCGAGGAGATTCTGCTTTTCTTCTTGGCCCAGTAGCACTCCTGTGTTTGCTTTAGCAGATCTGCACCCCCAGCCTGGGCCAGGATGATGGCATCAGCAAAGCGCTCTTCCTTTAGACACAGCTCCACAGCAGGGCCCAGTTCTCCAAGCAGGAGAGCCTGGCTCAGGAGTCCATCAGTGTCTGCAGGCAGAGGCATCCCCTCCATGTGAGTCTGCCCTCAGACCCTAGCTTCCTGTCCCCTGCAGGGCCCACAGTGCACCCCTTCCACCTCTGTACCACTCAGCCTCCCTTGCCCCAAACAAAACTCCCAAGTTTCATTCCTCAACAATAAAATGTAGTGGGCTGTCCTAGAGTGCCAGGTCTGGTGGTAGGTAACTCTCTAAGGATAGGGCTCAAGAGGAAGGAGGGCTTCATGTGGCAGCATCAGAGGTATAGTGTGCGCTCACTCGGCAAGGACAGGGTACAGTCTTTTAAGCAAGGAAACAGAAGGATAGAAAGAAATATCTTGCTAAAAGGCCTTCCAGAGGAAAGGTGCAGCCATGAAAATCCAGAGAGAGCTCTAACCAGTAACAGAACTGCCCAGCTTTTGTGTGGTGGGAAGGAGGCAGGAGATAGGAGGCAGGGGACAAGAAGAAAATATTCTCAAGTCCCAGAACTCTGAGCCCACCTACTCCAACACAGAGGGTTTCTCTCCCTCAGGATCGGGTACCTTCTGTGATGGGGATCTCCCATGGAGTCATACTCTGAGGGACCAGCTCATCAAAGAAGGTTGAGGAGGCAGAAGCTTCCTCTGTGATGTGTTTTGAGGCCTGTACAAGGAAGGACAGAGGTGGGTACTTAGGAAATGAATCCCAAAACAGACAGATGCCTTAGTGACTCTCTCTGGAAGCTCTACTATTTGGCCCTTAATGCGTAAAGCTAAAAGAATAATCAGGTAAGGTTTGGGAAGGGCTCTAATCCATGGTTAAAACATAGCTTCTCTCCCAGCGCAAAAGCTTATGCACTCTGTATCTCACTGCGGTTCTAAAAATATGAGGAGTCTGAAGACTTCTACAGAAGCTGAGCAATTCATGAGAGCAAAGCAAAGGGCCAGGAAGAGGCAGATGCTCTACAGGCAAGTCTCCCGTGCTACCCTAGGTCTGGCTGCCTGGGCTCCTACCACACCTGGCTGCAGAAGACCTGCTGTCTGTTACTGTGATCATCTCCCTCGGACTGAGGGCTCTCACCCAGCCCCAAGTCACTCTTCAGCCACGTGGCCACCTGCAGGGAGAGACCTATGAGCGCCCTCTTCCCGGCACAAGATCAGACATGCATTATGCTTTCTTCCCACCTCCACACCCTACTGCCTAGACTCTCTAAGATCCTGGGGCTTTTCACCTGGGGAAAAGCTGACCTCCAGGAGGTAATATTTTTGTATATGCATTAACGAAGCCCACAAAGAGGTCACTCAAGACAGTTTCCATTGACAGCATTTTCTTCTTCTCTGCCTCAAGTACATGCTTCTGATGTGTGAGCAGCTTACCTTCTTCTGAAGTTCATCTTTACTGTATCCTAATAGTTTTAGAAATTTCACTCTGGAGTCTTGTTCTAAGGTCACCTAAGGAACCACAGAATACACAAGTCTCCATTAAACCAATGTGAATGACCCTCTCCTGCCTAAGCCGGCATACCCTCTAATACAGTTCTTTGTCCTACCAGAGGTGCCCTACTAAGGCTGGCACCATCTCTCCTCTTTTTCTCCCCAGATTTGATCCCGCTGGGCTGGTGGCATGGTGTTAACAAAACCCTCTTCCATTTCTGCATGAGAATGAGACCTCCAGTTGACTTACTAGATCTGTTGGCCTGGTTACCTGATAAGAGTAAAACGTCAGCTATGTTTCTAGGCAACATTGCTTGTGACTGATAAATTGGACTGGAACTATAAACTATAAATAATCTCTGTGGACACCATGCTCTAGTCTGCCCTGATTGCAAGGGCTCTTGTAACTGAAGAGATCTCTTGCAGGGACTCTAGAAACTACATTTTTGGTGTGGGTACAAGAGACATTGGTTCTTGTGGGCATTAGGCTTCTAAGGCAGAGCCACCTCCACAACTGCCTAATTTTTTATCTAATCTCCTTACACCTGAGCTGTCTTCCGGGGAGGTAAAGAGGAGAGCTCTGAACTGCTACATGGCCTGCCACAAGGGCTCCCAAAGAAGACAGCCACAACCTGCTGCCCGGCTGACAAGCTGTGGGTCCTGTCCCACAGCTCTCTGAGACTGATGCCAAGAGAACCTAGAGAGCCTTATGCGTGTCTAAACATCCAGTTGAAAACACAGTTCCTAGTGGAAGCTGCATAGATACAGTAAAAGCCAGATACTGAGGGACAAGCCTTCCTGAAGCCCTACCCTAACCTGAGTTAGATGGCTGGGCCCTTCATTTCCCCTACACAGAACTGTGAATTCTGACTAATATCTTCCTCACAGTGTCTCAGGGCTCCCTCTTTCTCCCACGCTTGTCCTTTAGAAATGTCCAGCCACATTCGGTTTCAGGGCCATCATCACAGACAGCTCTTGGATAGCTTTTCAAACAGACTCCCCTCTGTCCTTGGGCACTGCTGCCTCCTTTGTTTGGAAGAGTAAAGGTTCAACTACTGATGGTGCCTTCTATTCTCTTTCTCACTCCACCATTCATTCCTGGAGCTGTTGCCTGCATTCTGCTTACAACAAAAGCAGCATTTCTTACTCTTTTCTCCCCACATCTTTTTCTAGCTTCACTCTATAGATGATCTTTCTCAAATCCTGTCTCCTTCCCAGATACCTGGTGACTACCATCACAAAGTTCTTCTGTGTCTGAAGCGCAGACCCCAAGCCTTGCTCAGAACCCCGGGCTGGGGTCTGTCCTGTTTTTTGCAATCTTTGCTACGGCCCCAAAGCTTTGAATAATCCTCTCGCTGCCTGCCCAGTCGGTTACTTCTTTTTCTTGCTTTACCTCTCTCCTCTCATCTGCTCACTTCCTTTCACAGGTAGAGCACTCCTGGTGTCATAAGCAGCTTGAAATTTCATTAGCACTGGAACTCGATCCATGCTCCAGAGTAAATTGGGACTTGATCCCTGAGTCTCACCACAACAACTTGCCTTGGGTTAACGGAAATAAACTCAAAGCCTTCTCATGATGCGTTCCCCACTTCCAGCCAATCCTCTTTCCTTCCTTTTCCTTCTCTTCTTCTCTCTTCCCATCACCTTATCTGCCCTTTGGCATGGCATGAAAGCCTTCACCTTGGCCCTGGTAAAGTCTCCAGGACATCAGCAATAGTAGCAAAAAAGGCAAATGTTTTTGTACCCTTTGGCTTCCTTGGCTGCAAGGGATCTCTGAGCCACTGGCAAAAGGTGAAGATTTCGTGTCCAGAGGGTGGGTGTGGCGTTAGGAAAAAGGCTGAGAGGTCAGAGCCTTTGTAATCTAGGTCCCAGTGTGATTGTGCATCTCCTGGAATTTCCCACTTTAGGGAAACACTTTGGAGCAGCCAGCCTTTGGGCTTCCTACCTTCAGGAACTGCCAGAGCATCTTTTCACTTTGTAGTGACGTTAGTTCGATCTTGTTCTGACAATAATTCAGGAGATTTCCTGACCCCAGGGACTCCTGCAGCTCAGCTGACCGCCTCAGAAATTCAGATTCTGTGGTGACTTGACTGACGAAGACTAGGCGGAGGCAAAGCTGTGGCACCTGATGGGCAGGGGTGCTGGGGAGGCCAAAGGTAACCAGCTTTCCCCCAAACTGGTGAGGAAAAACAAGAATGGTAAAAATTAACACCAAGTCTACATCACAGAGAAGGCTATCTATTGGTCAACCCTAGGATAGAAAATCAGTAATAATGCGGGGAGCACCATTCTCCCAGTCACCTGCACTAAACACCTTGGCTTCATCACGGTCTTTATACCCACCACAGCCAAGCAACAGCAGTCTTACCTGTTGCTCAATGTCTCCCATGCAGGTCCCCTCCATCCCACTCCCAGTGCTAGCACATCTAGATGACTGGAATTGGTTGCTAGCCTCTGGGTTTTTCCTCCTCAACCCAAGCCTTAGACTACTGGCCTGTACCTATTGCTACTTAGGGGCTTGTTACGGTTTCACAAGGCCTCAGATGAGGGCTTAAGTACCTCTGCCCATAGCATACAAAATCCTCCAAGATCAGGGCCAGACACTCTAGCCTCTCTCTCCCTCCTCATTTATGTGATCACTCCACATCCCCAAAGGGCCCAGTTTATTCCTGCTTCTGAGCCTTCACCCACCAAAACACCCCCAACTGAGAATCCTTCTCACCAAATTAGGTACCCTACATAAAGCACCTGTCACAAAGCAGAGCTCAGTGAAGTTCCTTTACTCCAGCGGTTCTCTACCTTGGCTGCATATTAAAACCACTTGAGGAGCTATCCAGAGTCATCATCAGGTTGTACTCCCAACAATAAAATCTGAATCCCAGGGGGTGGGACCAGGCATCAGTATATTTTCAAGCTCTTCAGGTTGCAGCCATGGTTGACAACTACTGCTTACTCCCCAACCCTTCACTATTTTCCTAAGACCCCTGCCTTAATGGACTTTTCCCAGCCAAAATTCTCCACTTGACTCTCCTACAGCACAAACCTACACTATAGATTAGTGCTACACAGAACAATTTTAACTTTTTTTTTTTTAATTTATATATGAAATTTATTGTCAAATTGGTTTCCGTACAACACCCAGTGCTCATCCCAAAAGGTGCCCTCCTCAATACCCATCACCCAGAACAATTTTAACTTTTGACTTGTTAATACTTGATAGTTTTACAAAGTGCTTGTATATATGCTTATTTGAGGTTCATGTCAATGCACTAACATATAGCTGAGCAGGTATTACTATCCCTGTTGTACAAATAAGAATACTGAAGTCTTGAGTTAAGTGACTTGCCCAAGGTTACCCAGCTAATAAGTGACCGAGCTATGATAAGAATGCAGACCTCTCCAGAATCATGAAAGCAGCAAGGGAAAAAAAAATCCCTAACCTACAAGGGAAGACAGATCAGGTTTGCAGCAGACCGATCCACAGAAACTTGGCAGGCCAGAAAGGAGTGGCAGGATATATTCAATGTGCTGAATCAGAAAAATATGCAGCCAAGAATTCTTTATCCAGCAAGGCTGTCATTCAAAATAGAAGGAGAGATAAAAAGTTTCCCAGACAAACAAAAATTAAAGGAATTTGTGACCACTAAACCAGCCCTGCAAGAAATTTTAAGGGGGACTCTGTGTGTGTGTGTATATATGTATATATATGTATATGTATATATATATATATATATATACATATATATATATATATATATATATATACATATACATATATACACACACACACTCACTCTAAACGTCAATGGACTCAATGCTCCAATCAAAAGACATAGGGTAACAGAATGGATAAGAAAACAAGATCCATCTATATGCTGTTTACAAGAGACCCACTTTAGACCTAAAGACACCTTCAGATTGAAAATAAGGGGATGGAGAACCACCTATCATGCTAATGGTCAACAAAAGAAAGCCAGAGTAGCCATACTTATATCAGACAATCTAGACTTTAAAATAAAGATTGTATCAAGAGATGCAGAAGGGCATTATATCATACTCAAGGGGTCTATCCACCGAGAGGAGCTAACAATTGTAAACATTTATGTGCCAAATGTGGCAGCTCCCAAATATATAAATCAATTAATCACAAACATAAAGAAACTCATTGATAGTAATACCATAATAGTAGGAGACTTCAACACCCCACTGACAGCAATGGACAGATCATCTAATCAAAAAATCAACAAGGAAACAATGGCTTTGAATGACACACTGGACCAGATGGACTTAACAGATACATTCAGAACATTTCATCCTAAAGCAGCAGAATATACATTCTTCTCCAGTGCACATGGAACGTTCTCCAGAACAGACTATATACTGGGACACAAATCAGCCCTAAGTAAGTACAAAAAGATCGAGATCATACCGTGTATATTTTCAGACCACAACACTATGAAACTCGAAATCAACCACAAGAAAAAATTTGGAAAGGTAACAAATACTTGGAGACTGAAGAACATCCTACTAAAGAATGAATGGGCTAACCAAGAAGTTAAAGAGGAAATTAAAAGTATATGGAAGCCAATGAAAATGATAACACCAACAACCCCAAACCTCTGGGACTCAGCAAAGGTGGTCATAAGAGGAAAGTATATAGCAATCCAGGCCTTCTTAAAGAGGGAAGAAAGATCTCAGATATACAACCTAACCTTATGCCTTAAGGAGCAGGAAAAAGAACAGCAAACGAAACCCAAAACCAGCAGAAGACAGGAAATAATAAAGATTAGAGCAGAAATTAATGCTATTGAAACCAAAAAAAAAGTAGAACAGATTAATGAAACCAGAAGCTGGTTCTTTGAAAGCATTAACAAAATTGATAAACCACTAGCCAGTTTGATCAAAAAGAAAAAGGAAAGGAGCCAAATAAATAAAACCAAGAATGAAAGAAAAGAGATCACAACCAACACAGCAGAAATAAAAACAATAATAAGAGAATATTATGAGCAATTATATGCCAATAAAATGGGCAATCTGGAAGAAATGGACAAATTCCTAGAAACATATACACTACCAAAAGTGAAACAAGATGAAATAGAAAATTTGAACAGACCCATAACCAGTAAGGAAATCAAATTAGTAATCAAAAATCTCCCCAAAAACAAGCGTCCAGGGCCAGATGGCTTTCCAGGGGAATTCTATCAAACATTTAAGGAAGAGTTAGCACCTATTCTCTTGAAGGTGTTCCAAAAAATAGAAATGGAAGGAACACTTCCAAACTCTTCCTATGAAGCCAGAATTACCTTGATTCCAAAACCAGACAGAGACCCCACTAAAAAGAACTATAGACCAATTTCCCTGATGAACATGGATGCAAAAATCCTCAAAAAGATATTAGCCAACCGGATCCAACAATACATTAAAAAAAATTATTCACCACAACCAAGTGGGATTTATACATGGGATACAGGGCTGGTTCAATATCTGCAAAACAATCGACGTGATTCATCACATCAATAGAAGAAAGGACAAGAACCATATGATACTCTCAATAGATGCAGAGAAAGCATTTGACAAAATACAGCATCCTTTCTTGATAAAAACCCTCAAGAAAGTAGGGATAGAAGAAGCATACCTCGAGATCATAAAAGCCATATATGAATGACCCAACACTAATATCATCCTCAATGGGGAAAAACTGAGAGCTTTCCCCCTAAGGTCAGAAATAAGACAGAGATGTCCACTCTTGCCACTGTTATTCAACATAGTATTGGAAGTCTTAGCCTCTGCAATCAGACAACACAAAGAAATAAAAGGCATCCAAATCGGCCAGGAGGAGGTCAAACTTTCACTCTTCGCAGATGACATGATACTCTATATGGAACACCCAAAAGATTCCACCAAAAAAACTGCTAGAATTGATTCATGAATTCAGCAAAGTTGCAGGATATAAAATCAATGCATAGAAATCGGTTGTATTCCTATACACCAAAAATGAAGCGACAGAAAGAGAAATCAAGGGATCAATCCCATTTACAGTTGCACAAAAAACCATAAAATACCTAGGAATAAATCTAACCAAAGAGGTGAAAAATCTATACACTGAAAACTATAGAAAGCTTATGAAAGAAATTGAAGAAGACACAAAGAAATGGAAAAAGATTCCATGCTCCTGGGTAGGAAGAACAAATATTGTTAAAATGTCGATACTACCCAAAACAATCTACATATTCAATGCAAATCTTATCAAAATAACACCAGCATTCTTCACAGAGCTAGAACAAACAACCCTAAAATTTGTATGGAACCAGAAAAGACCCCGAATAGCCAAAGTGATCGTGAAAAAGAAAACGAAAGCAGGAGGCATCACAATCCCAGACTTCAAGCTATACTACAAAGCTGTAATCATCAAGACAGTACATCAATGGAACAGAATAGAGAACCTAGAAACGGACCCACAAACGTATGGCCAACTAATCTTTGACAAAGCAGGAAAGAATATCCAATGGAATAAAGACAGTCTCTTCAGCAAGTGGTGCTGGGAAACCTGGACAACAACATGAAGAAGAATGAACCTGGACCATTTTCTTACACTATACACAAAAATAAACTCAAAATGGATGAAAGACCTAAATGTAAGACAGGAAGCCATCAAAATCCTCGAGGAGAAAGCAGGCAAAAACCTCTTTGACCTTGGCCACAGCAACTTGTTACTTAACACGTCTCCAGAGGCAAGGGAAACAAAAGCAAAAATGAACTACTGGGACCTCATCAAAATAAAAAGCTTCTGCACAGCAAAGGAAATAATCAGCAAAACTAAAAGGCAACTGACAGAATGGGAGAAGATATTTGCAAATGACATATCCGATAAAGGGTTAGTATCCAAAATCTACAAAGAACTTATCAAACTCAACACCCAAAAAACAATCCAGTGAAGAAATGGGCAAAAGACACGAATAGACACTTCTCCAAAGAAGACATCCAAATAGCCATCCGACACATGAAAAAATGCTCCACATCATTTATCATCAGGGAAATACAAATCAAAACCACAGTGAGATACCACCTCACACCTGTCAGAATGGCTAACATTAACAACTTAGGCAACGACAGATGTTGGTGAGGATGCGGAGAAAGAGGATCTCTTTTGCATTGTTGGTGGGAATGCAAGCTGGTGCAGCCACTCTGGAAAACAGTATGGAGGTTCCTCAAAAAACTAAAAACAGAACTACCCTACGACCCAGCAATTGCACTATCCAAGGGATTTATCCAAGGGATACAGGTGTGCTGTTTCGAAGGGACACATGCACCCTCATGTTTACAGCAGCACTATCAACAATAGCCAAAGTATGGAAAGAGCCCAAATGTCCATTGATGGGTGAATGGATAAAGAAGATGTGGTGTGTATACACACACACACACACACACACACACACACACACACACACACACAATGGAGTATTACTTGGCAATCAAAAAGAATGAAATCTTGCCATTTGCAACTACGTAGATGGACCTGGAGGGTATTATGCTAACTGAAATTAGTCAGTCAGAGAAAGACAAAAATCATATGACTTCACTCATATGAGGACTTTAAGAGACAAAACAGATGAACACAAGGGAAGGGAAGCAAAAATAATATAAAAACAGGGAGGGCAACAAAACAGAAGAGACTCATAAATACGGAGAACAAACTGAGGGTTACTGGAGGGGTTGTGGGAGGGGGGATGGTCTAAATGGGTAAGGGGCATTAAGGAATCTACTCCTGAAATCATTGTTGCACTATATGCTAACTAATTTGGGTGTAAATTTTAAAAAATAAAAAATAGGGGCGCCTGGGTGGCGCAGTCGGTTAAGCGTCCGACTTCAGCCAGGTCACGATCTCGCGGTCCGTGAGTTCGAGCCCCGCGTCGGGCTCTGGGCTGATGGCTCAGAGCCTGGAGCCTGTTTCCGATTCTGTGTCTCCCTCTCTGCCCCTCCCCCGTTCATGCTCTGTCTCTCTCTGTCCCAAAAATAAATAAACGTTGAAAAAAAAATTATAAAAAAAAAATAAATAAAATAAAATAAAATAAAATAAAATAAAATAAAATAAAAAATAAAAAATAAAACAAGTTAAAAAAAAAAAAAAAAAGAATGCAGGCCTCTCCAGACAGACCCAGAAATACAGAGAACAAGCCAGTGGCCGCCAAAGGGGAGGGTTAGGTGAGAGGCCAGGCAAATGGTTGAAGGGGAGTGGGAGGTACCTGTTTCTAGTTATGCAATGAATAAGTCATGGTACAGTATAGGAAATACAGCCAATGGTACTATAATAGCACTGTATGGTGACCCATGGTAGCTACACTTGTGAACGTAGTGGAACGTATAAATCTGCTGAATTGCTATGTAACTAATGTAACATTGTGTGTCAGCTATATTTCAATTAAAAAAGGCAGAGGGGTGCCTGGGTGGCTCAGGTGGTTAAGAGTCCGACTCTTGATCTCAGCTCAGGTCATGATCTCACAGTTCATGAGTTCAAGCCCCGCATTAGGTTCTGAACTGATGGCACAGAGCCTGCTTGGGATTCTCTCTCTCCCCCTATCTCTGTCCCTTCCCTACTCTCTCTCTCTCTCTCTCTCTCAAAATAAATAAATAAAAACTTTTTAAAAAAGGTTTTTAAATAAGTATTGGGGCTAATTCAGAGAAAATGAAACTCCTAGGCATTGTTGGAAATATTAAATTGTGCAGCTGCTGTGGAAAATGGTATGGTGAGTCCTCAACAATTAAACACAGAATTATCTCCTGAAATCAATAAACAAAACAAATGAAGAAATGTAGGTCTTTCAACATCAGAATTCTTCACCTCCCTGCCTCTTGAGTGTGTTGGTCTTGCCTCCACAATAAAACTGGTGGCTCTGCACAGAAGAATCACTTCTTCGATACATCTGTTTTTTAAATGACACCTAATATTTAAAGCATTAGGTTAAACTAGTGCTTTAGGGCCCTGCCTCTCCTCAGGCCAGCAGCAAGGGAATCACCTGGGAACTTACTGGAAATCAGAATCTTGGGTCCTACCCTAGACTAAAGGAACCAGAATCTGAATTTTAGTAAGATCTCCAGGTGATCTGTATGTGTATTAAAGTTTGAGAAGCACTTGCTTTAGGGATAAAAATGAACAAAATGCGGTCCCTATCCTCCAGGAGTCCATTACTTAGTAGGGTCTCCACCCGAGTATGTAAATAACCTTAGTCCAAGTAAAGTGTATCATTATAGGAGGATAAATCCTCAAAGTGAAGTCTGACAAGGGTTTAAAGATGGACATCATGGAGGGGGTGGTATTTAAGCAAAAGAACATGAAAAGGTACGGTAGGATTCAATGGCTCAGGAGAGAAGTTGAAGGGCAGGGTACAGGCAAAAGCAGCAAAGCTGAGGAGTTATTTGTGGAACAGAAAGGAGTCATATATAACTGGAGCACATGAAACACATAAGAATAAGGGGGAATAAAAACTGGAAAGGTAAGTGCGGCCCTGTGTACATTTGGCCTTGAGTCCATAAGACAATGGGGGCCAAAGGTTTTGAGCAGAGGAGGGACAGGATGGAATCTACATTTTTTTCTTTCCTGCTTTGTATTCTAACCCTTACATGTCTGGACTCACTACCAGTCCAAACACGTAAGAGTTAGAGAAAGATCAGGTGGAATCTCAAGCAGTTCTCCATAACCGAGCAGTCTAAAGCGCTCAATTCCCTTTAGACAGGACCAGCACAGTACGCTAGGCAAAGGGGTAGAAAGGAAAGCTACAGTAACTCTGCCTGAGCATGAAGGTGGGACCTGATCTGAGACACAGGCAGTAGGAATGAATCTCCTACAGAACACAGCTCCGTGCTGGGCACGCAACAGGCTTCACAAACACATACACACATACAACCATGCACTAGCCACCACCCCTCCCCCCCCCACACACACTACACTTACAGCAAATGAAACACCTGCTGGCCTTCTCATCCATTTGGGGGGTTTTTTTAGAGGAGGTATCAATGATGCTTGGGCCACTTGCTCTGGCACCTGCAATGGTGGGAGAGGCTGGCCTTTGCTGAAGGAAGAAGAGATCTGAGGGCAAAAGGACACCAACTTGAAGTGGTGCTGCATCTACAAGTTTGGGGGAAATCCTTGAAACATCCAATCTGGCCCACAAAGGCTAGACTCCCATTTTCTAGGGAACTGGTAGTGAGAGTAAAACTCCCATGCAGTAGGCTCTTGGAAAGCCTACTGTATCCAAGGTCTACAGTGGAGTGTAGACACAGAACAGATCTATAGGAGAAAGGGAGATAAGGCACTTCCAAAATAACGATTCCACCATAGAGGTCCAGTGTCCCTGAAATACCACAGAGAACATCCAAGAGCAAGCGTCAAGGTGAAGGCCTCTTTTGTATTGTGGCAGAAATTGACATCCTCCCAGGAAGATGGGCACTAGAGCAAAGGTGCAGCCCTCCCAACCCAGGCCCCTGGCTTCCCAGTCTCCAATAGTCCCCACTTCTTCCCAGGCCGTTCGTCCTTCTCTCTACCCCAACATAGAGATAGCATTCCCTCCAGCATTCTCCACCAAGCCCTTCAAACCTTGTCAGCCTGTCTGATCTGCTGGACTTCCCAGCTCCTACCCATCACGGAGTACAAACTGATCCAGCCGTCAAAGGAGGCAGCAGAGAACACTGGAGGGTCCCGAGGGCACCACTGCACATCAAAGCACCAGCTACTCTGTGTGGGTAGCTTATATACTACCTGTGAAGGAACCCAACCATTAGGGAAACCTTGACTTAGGTAAAACAATGCAGAACACACAGCTCATCTCCTCTCCCAGCATGCCCACAGAAAGGCCGGCCTACCTCACCACTCCCCAGGTTCCAGCACAAGATCTGGTTGTCCTTGGCACTACTGAGCAGCAGCTCAGGGTCAGCCTGGCTCCACGACACTGACAAGATCCCCCTAAAAAGGAAAGGAAAGAGGAACTAACATTTGTTGAATGCCCACTAGGAGTAGAGTGTCATACATATCTTGGATATATCTCATCCCTATAAAATGAGTGGCCTGATTTCATTTTACAAATGAGGAAAAGGAGGCTTTGAAAAATTAAGGAACCTTCAGCAGCCATACAGCCAGGACACGTCAAACCCCAGAGCCTGGGCACTATGCACTGTATCATTCTGCCTCTCACAGTTCCCTGCAGGATGGCCCGCTTCTCTTCCCTGACTGTAGAGTAGGGACTGTGAATCAGCATGAGTCACTCAAGCACACATCCCTATGTGTGCTTTTTAGCCCATGTGAGGAGTGAGGATATAACTCTTAAAAGTCCCCAAGAAGGCATAAAAGCAACATAGACCTTTAGTAAGAAAGAACAGTGTGGGGTTGTTTTCTCTGCTAGGGGCCTAAGAGTTACAGCTTCAGGGGCAGGCCTGTTCGGAGGATAAACAGGAGCCAAGGTTTTCTTACTGAAAAGTCTTAGGGGTGCCTGGGTGGCTTAGTCAGTTAAGCGTCTGACTCTCGGTTTTGGCTCAGGTCATAATCTTGTGGTTTGTGAGATCAAGCCCCATGTCAGGCTCTGTGCTGACAGTGTGGAGCTTTCTTGGGATTCTCTGTCTCCCTCTCTCTCTACCCTTCTCTCTCTCAAAATAAAGAAACTTAAAAAAAAAAAAAAAAAAAAAAGAAGTCTTGGAGGAGATAACCTCACCACCTAAAGAGATTAACATTATCCTGGACTCTCCCAGGAGGACTAAACATTGGCTCCAAATATTTGTCATGACCCCATCCACACTCCAATTTCTGGAAGTTAAATGGAATCTCAGGTTCTTCTCCATAACCTTACCATCTCAAGAAACTCCTCTTTGTTGGGGCTAGAGCTAGGATTGGGAAACTGTTCACTGGGAATGGCTTTGAAGGCAGGGAGGATGTTTGGTAACTAAAGTGAGACATTCACTGCCTCCTACCCAGGTCAGTTATGCCATACCGTCTGCCAAAAAAGTAGACAGAGTTTGAGATATTACCTGCTGTGGCTCTCCAGCACCTTCAGGGGAGAGGAGGCAAAGCGCAAATCCCACAGCTGAATCACTGGAAGATGATCATCTTCTGAGCAGAGCACCAATTGGGTGGCTATCTCTGGGTGCCAGGCCAAGCCTGAGCTGTGCATCTGTGAACAAAGAAGACCCCAAAGGGTGATGTAATCTGACTCTTCTGATTATGAACCTTTTCTGCCCAGTTGGAATAGGGCAGGTTTTGTGTCTCTTCTGTGTGATGACCATGAGTAAGTAATGAATATTAGAAGCCTCCAGATCAGCTCTGTTTAGCTTCCCTAAGCATTCACTCTCAACAGGAAATCTGATAAGAGGCTAAGTCCGCAAGTGTAGCAGCTGAAAGCAGAACCCTGGCCTGGGGAAGAACAGCTCCAAAGCCCAGGCATGAGGGAGAAGCCAGAGCCCAACCCTGCATTCTGCCTCCAGAACTCACCCTGTTGCTATGATCGCTGACTTTGATGATAGGTTCATTCTTTCTGAGATCCCACACAACTGCCTTGCCGCTGGGGTGAGCAGAAGCCAGAATGTGTTGAACCTGCCGGTTCCAAGCGAGTGCTTTGATGTCTTCTGGAGGCTGCTGTGGCAGGATGGGGGGAGGGGTGGAGGACAACTTGTCATCCCCTGGACCAAGAGACATTTGCTGTTCCACTGCTCCCAACCACCCACAGAAAGCCCAAGAGCAGACATGAGCTTCTCAAACCCAGATAGTATCAGGGAGCCGGGGGTTAAATTTTCTAGAGAGGATCCTTTGGGGGTACTGGTGTAGAAATTGAGAGAAGGGCAGGCACACTTGGATTTTACTCCTATCCCAAGTTGCTCCTGAGAGAATAAAGTCAAGATTTAAAACAGGCCTCTTATCTATGACAGAGAGAGAGGGAGAGGAGGAGGAAGAAAGGGAAACACAGACACGTAAGACCCTCAGAGAAAATGAGGCAGAAAGAAAAGCCATTGCTATTTTTAGGGCACAGGGTACTATCAAATTTATACTTAACTTACCTCACGATACTGTAAGCATAAGACAGAGAAGAGCCAGGAAGCAAAAAGACAGACCCAGTTATAGACTGACAGGTAGGTACACTCAGAGACAGATATGCACAGGACCCCAACTGCATGAAGAACTAGATACAGAGGCAAAGCTGACCCACCTCACAAAAAGGACAAGAGTATATCTGGGTGTCCTACTCTTAGCCCCACTTCCTGAGCTTAGGGTCCTACTCTACCCTGCCTGAGCTCTACTATGATAAATCGTACTCACACTTCTTTTCTCAATGCCTCCCACTGCCCTTCTTCATCTTCCTTCCAGAAACCCTAGGACAGTTAATGACCACAAACCACCCCACCACACGCACACCCTCCCCTCCATTGCTGCTAATGGCTGGCTGGTAAAATGTGTTCGTTTGCGGAGCTTTGTTGCCCTCCAGTGGTAAAGTCCAAAACCTCCTGTGCTCTGGCTGCCTCCAGGATTCAAGACTCTCCCTGGGAAAATCAGCTGCCCTAGGAGCCTCCTTACCTGTGACTTGGATCCTGGGGTCATTGGCACATTTAGGTTATTCAAATCCCAAATGAAGATTTCAGAATCACTGGCCCCTGTGGCCAGGAGGTGGCCCTGTATGAAGAACAGGTCTTTGGGGAAACACCACCCCAGGAAGAAGTGAGAGCAGGAAAGGGGGAAAGAGACCCACATGTGGGGTTTCCAAAGCCTCTCCCCTAACAGCCTGGGAAGGGCTCAGAGTTACAGACTGGAGGCCACAAGTGAATGTTTCCATACAGAATTGTTACTCCATGGCTTGGCCATGTCTGACCAACTGAAATGCAGTACCTGGAAAGGATTAAAGTCAAGGGCTCTGACAGCCCCCGTGTGCTTCTGCCTCTGGGCAATCACAGGCTCCTTCCCCGAAGACAGGATGTGGGTCACATTGTACAGAGTAAGCATGCCATTGTTCCCTCCGCCTGCAATAACCCCGGAGGCTTCCAGAAGCCCATTGCCAAAGCTCCCCCAGATCAGCTTGTAAAACCTACAAAGAGGAGAAACTGGCATCAGCACCAACTCAGAACCATGTTAATAGGCAGAGAGCAGGCATCTCTGTCAGCCTCTGCCATTATGCAGGCATCCCCACCCCAAGACAGGCCTGCCTTTCTCCCTCACTTACCAGACACACAACAGAGGTGTCCTCACTTTGGTCCTGCCCTTTCTCTGAAAAATATTCCATCTTTGTTACACTAGAAGTGAGGAGGCCAGGCTTTTTTTTCCCCCCTAAATTAACATTATTAGGGTTATATAGAGCCAGTGATACATATTTCAAATAAATTACTTCACTTAATCCTCACAACTCAAATAACAGTAACAACTAACACTTATTAAACAGTTCCTACGTATGATGCATTGTTTTAAGTGCTTCACATGTATTCACTGATTTAATATTCAGTAACTCTATAAAATATTATTACTAACTCCATTTTCAATTGAGGAAACTGAGACACAGAAAATATATGAATTTCTGTACATACACTTAGTAGTTTTATCCCTATTTGACACCTAGGAAGTGGTGGAATCAAGGTATACAGTCCCTTTTATTTTAGAGTCTGATCCCTTAACCATCATAAAAGACTGTATTCTGTTTAGAGGAAGATCCAAACTCTTCTGTACCTGACTAGAAGCAGGTTCCCTACACCAACAACTGTTGTCCTCTCTTCCCTCTCAAGCTGTAAGTGAGAAGGGACCCAAGGATCACTCCACCTTGTGTCTCTCCCATGTGACTAGCCCACTGGATCTGCTCTATGGCTGTAGCCGGCCAGCCCTAGAAACATAGAAGCAAAAAGAATAAACACATCTCTTGGGAAACACTTCTGGCTTTCTGGCCTGCATCTTACACAAAAGGAAAAGATGGATCCTGGGCCCCTGCAGAGTTAGGTCCTCTACAAAGCCCCTAGGGAAGCCATGTGAAATCCCCAAAGCCTTAAAGGTAGTCTTGTCCTCCATTTCACAGCTGCTAGCCAAGGGTATTTCCACAGCCCTTCGGGGAAGCCAGATTTCACATTGAATGATGTCATAAGATCCCTAACTGGAATGAAATGTTCCCACACCCTGGGAAACATCAGCCAAGAAACTGAGTGGGGTGACCAGGCAGGAACCTGTTTGACCAGTCATTAGGCAGCACCAACCTGTTAGAAGTGAAGAGTTGAACACCATTTGAGACCAGGTCAGAGCAGAGCTGACACAAACAGTGGCTCTAAAGGTACTGTCCAAAAGGCCATGTGTTCTAACATTGCACTGATCTCAATAGGGCAGAAGAACGTGTGCCACATTGGTTCAAGAGGCTGCCATGTCACCCTGGGGCTAGAGGTCAGTGTGGGCTGAGGGCAAGTCAACAAAATAACTAAAGAAACCCATAATAAGTCTCACAGGAAACAGAGGAGAATATGGCCAGTGAAAAACTCACATGGGGGTGGTAGATGTCACAGGAACGTCATTATGATCACAGCACCTGGCATACAGACCAAAGACAAAGGCACCTGAGACCTCAAGGGGGAGTCACCAAAAAGTTAGAGAACAAGCCTAGTTAGTTTAGAGTGACCAAAATGCAGAACACAGAGTGTGACAAAATGATTTTCTTTCTGTAAGCATGTAGAAAGTACAGTCCTATGGTTAACCATTTCACTAGTGAGAGTGAGCCTAGAGCCCAAATAGGACATGAAAGAGAACATCTAGGAGAGTGAGAACGGCTAGGACAAGTTAAGCGAGGACCAGGACATGATCATTCAACGGACTCAAGGAATGTCAATCATCTCTGCTCTTCAAATGGTCAGGGAACAGTGTGTGTGTGTGTGTGTGTGTGTGTGTGTGTGTGTGTGTGTACGCACACATGTGCACGCAGAAAAAGAGTGCACGGAATGCAGGCAAATGCAACAAAATATTAACTACTGATAAATCTAGGTAAAAGTATATAATTGTTCATGTACTATTCTACAACTTTCTATGTTTGGATAGTTTAAAAGTTAAAAAAAAAAAAAGATAGCCTTTGGCTTGAAAATAGGATCTCCAGAGATTAGAAGAGATTTAAAGAGATGGTATAGGAAGAGTTTGCATGGAATGATGGGAACTTTCAAAACATGAGAATACAGCTGCAATTCTCTGCTGAAGAGGTTCCCATGGAGATGGTGATAAGGGGCAGTATACAGCATCAAAGAAATACAGATTCTTGGGGCACCTGGGTGGCTCAGGGGGTTGACTGTCTGACTCTTGATTTTGGCTCAGGTCATGATCTGAAGGTCATGGGATCAAACCCTGCATCGGGCTCCGCACTGAACAGGAAGCATGCTTAAGACTGTCTCTCCCTCTGCCCCTCTCCCTCACTTGCACTCTCTCTTTCTCTCTAAAATAAAAAAAGAAAAAGAAAAAAACAGATTCTTTACTTTCCTACTTAGACCTTGCAAAGCAGAATTTCCAGAGACAGGCCCTCAGAATCTACATTTAAAAAAAAATTTTTTAACATTTACTTATTATTGAGAGACAGAGAGAGACAGAGCATGAGCATAGGAGGGGCACAGAGAGGGTAGACACAGAATCTGAAGCAGGCTCCAGGCTCTGAGCTGTCTGCACAGAGCCCAACATGGGGCTCAAACTCACAAACCGCGAGATCATGACCTGAGCCGAAGTCAGACGCTTAACCTACTGAGCCACCCAGGCGCCCCCAAAATCTACATTTTAAACAAGAGCCCCCAGGTGATTGTAACAAGCAAACAGGGTTGAGAACCCCTGTGTTGGATACATCAGATTGATACCAGCCTAGACCAGTAGGGGAAGACACTGAAATTCATAAAGACAGAACCAGCCCTACGACCAGCTCATGGCTATGCTCCTGGCGGAGAGAAAAAGACAAGGTTAAAGAGAATAAATTGAGGCCTGGGAGATCAAAAGGCCATCCTAGCTAAGCTCAGCTGAGGCCAAGCTTTAGCTAATTTATAACTAGGAATATGTGTTGTGTAAATTCTTTCTTCCATATTTATGTACTTCTTTGTTTGGGATTTTGCTTTTATTTGCTTAGTAAGGTTCCTTTTTAAAAACAACCACCTCAGAGGGGGTCTGGGTGACTCTGTCAGTTAGGCAACTGACTCCTGATTTTGGCTCAGGTCATGATCTCACAGTTTGTGAGTTTAAGCCCCACACTGGGCTCTGCCCTGACAGTGCAGAGCCTGCCTGGGATTCTCTCTCTGCCCCTCCTCTGATCGCTTGCTATCAAAATAAATAAAATAAACATTAAAAAAATTCCAACCTCATGTTACTGAACTAAAGTGAAAACAAGCCAAACTAGCTGAGGGAATCCAAGTTTTCTTAAAAGTCAGAGCAGTGAAGGGACACCTAGGTGGCTCAGTTAGTTAAGTGTCTGACTTCAGCTCCAGTTATGATCTCACAGTTGGTGAGTTTGAGCCCCACATCGGGCTCTGTGCTGACAGCTCAGAGCCTGGAGCCTGCTTTGGATTCTGTGTCTCCCTCTCTCTCTGCCCCTCCCCTGCTCATGCTCTGTCTTTCTCAACACACACACACACACACACACACACACACACACACACATTAAAAAAAAAAGGTAGAGCAGTGAGGGCAGTGCTCAAGTTGGAGAACGAAGACAGTGAAGTGAAGCAGTGGCTGTCTGAGAGAACTTCTTTTCTGAAGCCTAATATGCACCAGCTAATACGTGCCCGTGTATCCCAAATTTACAGCAGAGAAAAACAGGGCCAGAGAAGTTAAACAATGTGCCCAAGAGGATATTAGATGGCAGCGTTGGGATCTGAACCCAGGCCTATCCAACAACAAAGCCCACGTTCTCTCCACTCTGTGATCTTGATGTAATCTCTAAGGAAGGCAAACCTTGGAAATGGGAAAACTAAGAAAAGTACACAAAGTGATCTTTTTCTGCTTGGTGTTGTTCCTTACACAGGCACCCAAAGAGATGCCATAGGGTTCCCCAAGTAGCCAGAACTACTATAAAGGTGCTGGAAGATAGATCACCTACTGTCTTCACGTTACTAGAGAATAGGTCATACAGAGGTACAGAGGCCACAAAAAGATCTAGACCCTCAGTGCAGACAGAGGGTGGAGTACTGCACATCGCACACTGGTCTCTGACCTCATTCAGCCACAGCAGCTAAGTCCTCGTTTCATTAAGACAATTCATAAATAACGTATTATTCTCCCAAAAACCTTTATTCTTGAGTGAGATTCATCTAACAAACCAAACATCACTTGCTTCAATGCACGTGCTAATCCATATTGATTCTGATGCATCCACTGGCTTTAATCCATTCCCTCTCTTCAGTCTATTTACAGCTTGAGGTGGTCCCTTATCCACCCCCACACCAGTGTTTCAGAGGACTTCTCTTTCAGTCAGATATTTCTAAATACATAATATTTTCTGATGCCTCATGAATTGATATACGGGGATCTTCAGGATTCAAATGTGGTTGAGGCATGCATCTGGTGAAAAGGGCAGGCAAAGGATGGGGGAAGATTTTGAAAAGTATGTGTTAGGTAACAATGGTGAGACTCAAGGAAGCTTTCTTTAAAAAAAAAAAAAAAGGAAAAAGATTATGATACAAAAAAGGAAGAGAAGGAAACACTGAACATAATACCTGAATTTAGAGCTCAGTAGGTTCTTAGTCTTCTTGTACAACCTCTTCTTTATATGTAAGTGAGGAAACCTACGACCTCCATTTGCACAAAGTCACCTATCTCTAGCCAAGGATGCAACCCAATACAACTGTGCTTTCCACTAAACCACGCAAAAGATGGCACAGAAAAGAAAGAGGAAAGTATAAAGCAAAGAACAGGCAGCCCTCTCTCTACCTCGATCATCTTGGTCAATAGTTTGAGATGTGGATTTCTGAGTAAGTGACTGAACCCAGGCTGGAACAGAAAGAAGTGGGTGCCTTAGGCCCTCGGGTGTCTAAGATGATTTCTTCAACAACACCCTATAGATCTATGTCAAAGATAGTTCCTTAGGTCTTTGGAAATGCAACTCAATCTTTGCACACAATTATAGAGGTAGAAAAGAAAATAGAGATGACACACTATCAATAGTGTTAGCTGCACTATTTATTTTGGGTATAGCTCCCAATCTCTGCAGGATCAAACAGGGTATGAAGTGAAGTTTACAATTCCTGATTTGAGTACCAACATTTCAAAAAGGGTCCCTTCAGCCTAGTTGGCTGCAAAACAAACCGATCGTCACCTTTGAAAAGCTCTCAGGGCACTAACATTAACTGAAGAATAACTTTAACTAACTGAAATGGTGGATATGAATGCTCAGTTTGGTAATCCAGACATTTCTAGCATCGCTCATTCATTTAACAGATAATCCTTAAGCATCAAATGCCAGGTGATGTTTTAGGAGTTAGAGATACAGCAGTGAATGAAACAGACAAAAATCTCTGTCCACAGGGATCTTAGGATTCAATTTCAAGGTTTCTTAAGCAACTATATTGTTTCTTTCTTAGGAACTATTAGCCCTAAGGAGCCACTACTGTGCTAAAGCTGTTGCTTGGCTGGCTGAGGATAGGAGCTCTTACCCATTGCCCCTCTTCTTAAGTCCAGGAGCATAAATGTTATTGAATTAGCTCCCCTCTTTCAGGAGCCCTTTCTGAAATGCTTGCTTAGAGGCTAAGAATATCTCATCATTATTGGTAAACCCTCTAGTGATATAGGGGCTCAAGAAAGGGAGAACGATAACTAACCTTTCATTATTAGGCTAACCCATGTAAAGAAAAAAGAGGGGGGGCGCCTGGGTGGCGCAGTCGGTCAAGCGTCCGACTTCAGCCAGGTCACGATCTCGCGGTCCGTGAGTTCGAGCCCCGCTTCAGGCTCTGGGCTGATGGCTCAGAGCCTGGAGCCTGTTTCCGATTCTGTGTCTCCCTCTCTCTCTGCTCCTCCCCCGTTCATGCTCTGTCTCTCTCTGTCCCAAAAATAAATAAACGTTGAAAAAAAATTTTTTTTTAAAAAAGAAAAAAGAGGGTACTTCTATCTAAATATCTTAATTTATCTCTCAGATGGACCAAAACATTCATAAGAGAATGCAAAGTTGCATTTTGACCAGTAATCTCTAAAGAGGGATGGACAAGATAATTCTCTGTAGGAAAAAGACATATTTTTAATCTGTAAAATTATGGAAATGGCACTTTTTAATAGTAGAGTAATGCACGTATATATTTATATTGCCTCTATAACTTGAGTATAGTGAATATTCACATTTTCCCCAGTGGTATGAAAATTTGGAGACCACTGCTTCAGACTGTAAGCCACATCTTTACAAAACCTATAAAAGAGAAGTTGAATAATCGAAAGAAGGTAGATTTTGGAATCAGACCTATGTGTAAATCCTAGCTTCCCAGAGTTTCGGTTCCCTCCTATGCAAAATGGGAATAATGGTATTTATTGCTCAGGCTCATTTTGAGGAATGAATAAGATATACAGAGTCCCTAGCATAGTGCCTGACCTGTATACATGTGCTCTGTGAATGCCTGTACTCAGGCCTGTAAGCCTGCCAGAGCCATGAAATCCAGGAGTACCCAATCAGTGCCTAACCACAATGAGGAGAGGCTCATTCATTCTCCTCCCACTGGCAGAAAAGGAGATATTGTGTAAGGTTATCTTCACAAGAGCCAAGGGAGGAAGAAGCCAACATCTCTGGGCTCAGAGAGAGATCAGGCACGTACAGGTCCAGGCTTGGGTGAGGAGTCTCTAACACACGACTCTGCCTGATGCCGCTGCTGACCAAAAAAGTGAGAGTGGGTGTTTTTAAAATCCTTTGGTAAAATAAACCCAGAGTTAACTTCTCCCCAACTTGGTGAAGGTCCTTCACCTAATAGATATCCTTATGAGCCTTGAGAAGCACACCTTGCTCCCAGAATTCCTCAGTCTACATCAGGAGCTGCCCTGCACACACATCAACAATTCAGACATGGTACCTGCTTGAGGCAGAAAGGACTCCCTTGCGTTTCAAGTCCAAGGAGGGGTCCCTGAAATCAACCTCAAAGATTTCCAAGGTGCCATTTGTGCTAAAGGAGGCATCTAACTGCTGGGCAGATGTTCCTAGGCACAAGAAAAGTTAGGAAGAGGCAGCATATAAGCAAAAATACATGCATGGATTTGGGGTATAAATGGTTAGGGAGAGGCAGCGGAACAGGAGAGGACTGGGTATATCCTTTTTCAAGTGGTAACTCCAAAGAAAGCAAGAAAACAGGAGGTGCTCAAGCTTGAACCATAATTCAAGGCTGCCCCTAGGTACCCCAAACACCTAATGTCCCCTTGCTTATCCTGCAAGCGAACCCCACCTTTTCATGACTCTAAAGCTTTCTCTGAAGCTCAATAAAGAATTCTGAATATTAAGTTTCCCCTTGACCTATGTACTTCCAGTGGATCCTAGTCCACAGTATCATCATACCTGTGGCGAGATACACAGGGCACTGGCTGGCTGGGCTCCACACTTGGACAGCAGGCCGTTCAAGCTCCTTTAGCTTCATGGTCCGTCCTGTAGGTGGCAGAAAACTGACATAACCCTCAGCTTACTAAAAATAGAAATCAGCAAGCTTAAGGGCCAGAGCTAGGAAGCACCTGTGGACACGAGTTCTTGTTTCTCTCTCCCTACCATGGAATGGGGGCATTTCAGGGCAATACAGGGTGACACACGCATGACCATCTGTAGATCTGCAAGGACAGTTCACTTACCCAATTACTAAAATCTAATGCTTTAACCCCAAAAAGATATTTAAACACACTGGTTGCCACAGGCCCAATGGTGATGATAACCATCAAATTGGATAACCTCTCAGTGACCTCATCCATTCCCTTGGCTTTTCATCCGTATGCTGATGACCCCTAAATTCATACCACCAACACAAATTTCTCAACTCTGAGCGCCAAGTTCTTATATGTAACTGCTCATCAAACATTTCTATTTGGATATAGCAAAGATAACCTAAGTCAGTCTGTCTAAAACGGAATTCTCCATTCTACCACCTCCTTCCCCTAAATCTGTTCCTTCTCCATTTTTCTTCATCTCAGTATATGGTATCACTATCCCCCCAAACTGCTCAACCTGGGAACCTGAAAGTCACCCTCAATTCCTTCTTGCCCCTTATTCCCTTCTAATTCATCATTAAGGCTTCCTGATTTCACCCCCAAAATGTCTCTTAACCTGTTTACTTTTCTCTAGCTCCACCACCACCATTCTATCTGAAGACACCGTCATCTCTCACCTGCATTACTGCGATAATCTTCCAAATGGTTATCCTTATTCTACCATCACCCAATTAACTCTTTACATAGCAGCAGAAGTGAACTTTTAAAATAAAAAAAATATAGAATTTTGGCATTCCATGCTTCAAATCTTCCAATGACTTCTATTGCACTCAAAACAAAATTGCACTCAAACCCCTTATGACCCTGCTTAATGGCTCATCCTTCCACTTCAACCTCGTCTCTTGCTACTTTCCCCCTTTATTCATTACGCCGCAGCCACAATTTTTTTTTCCTTTCTTTCATTTCCTGGCTTTTTATTACCTCAGAGCTTTTGTAAACTCTGTTTCCGATACTTTAAATGTTCTCCCTTTCATTCTCTGCATGACTGGCTCCTTTTCACATCTTTCTGGGCTAAGTGTCTCACCCCCTCAGGGAGGTGAGCCACCCAACCAAAATCAGTCTCAATTTTTTTTCTCCTTGGTAACTTATTGTTTTGTGTTTATTTACATTTACATTGTTGGTCTCAACCACCAATAAGTAAACTCCAGGAGAGCTTGTACTGTGTCTGCTTTGTTCACCATGTTATAATTAACTAGTGCCAGAACAATGTGTGGCATAGAGTAAAGTGCTTGATAATACGTTTAATGAACGTAGACATCCATGTTAATTCTGTGGTTTCCAATACAATTCTAACACATATTCAAAGTGCCATCCCAACAGGCTAGCAAAGTGGCAGAAAAGTTTTTGGTTTTGTTTTGTACTGTTTTTAATGTAACACTGAACTTGAGGGAAGAAACTTGGGACCCATTGTAAACTGCTTAAGGAAACCACCGTCAGGTTAGTCGCAACCTACTAAAATAGTAGGTAGTATTCCTCAATCTCTAATGTACTTTCCAGCCTGAAGAGAGTTTAAAGCTGCCAATTCAGCCAAGATTCTCAGCCAAGACCCTCTTTAGAGGGGGCCTCTAAACGCTTGAGGCAACACCAGGTAACTTCGGACTCGCTGCACATCATATTATACAGTCGCCACTGCCACCTGCTGGTCAAAGCCGTTTTCCCGTTTGTGGGGAAAGCCCTTTACAGAAGTAGGAGCTGCGTTCAGCCCTGCGCATTTGACGGGCAAATCTCACTTCTCATAACGGTTCTGTGCAACAGGTACTATTATTATATACATTTCACCGGGAAGAAAACTGGCTGGGGCCGAGATATGAACCCCACTGAGCCTCCATAGCTCAGTGCTTTTAACCATGATATTAGTTCAAACTCAACTCCAGATGAGGTGTTAAATCCCCGACGGCCTAGAAACTGGGAAGATGGGCTGTTAATCTACATTCAACCAAGAGCCGAACAGACTCCCGCGGTGATGGAGGGCGCCAGCGACCCTCCGCAGCCGAGGCCCTGCGGGGGCGGTGAGCACAGCTTCCCTCCAGGCTAGGCTAAGCCGGGGCCCGGGGAGCACGGGAGAAGGTGCGAGGGCAGCGCTGAAGGGAGACAGACCCTCGTGGGGCCGCAGCACCCCGGCGGGGCCGCGAGAGCGGAGCCGGGTCCAATCCGAGGGCGAGCGCGGTGGCGCCCGAGAGGCGCGGACCGGGGTCTCCGCGGGGGACGAGGTCCCTCCGGCGCTCTCCCTACGGTGGAGCGGTGCCCCGGGCCCCAGAGAGGCGGGGAAAACCCACCTGCGCGGAGAGCCCGGGTCACGGCAGCGCGGCGCAGCCACGGCAGGTCTCCTCCGAGGGCCTGTGGGCTCAGCTGGGCGCTGCGGACGGCGGCTGCCGAGGGCCAAAAGTAGTCCTAGAGGCCGAGCACTGCCGCCCGCACGCGCCGCGAAGCGCCGGCGGAGCAGCGGAGAGGATGGAATAGGATTCTGGCTCTGCCGGCTCCCTCACCTGCGCCGATTGCGCGGTTCTGCCGCAGAGGGTCAGATCCTGCGACCGCTAAGTTCTGGCCTATTCAGTTAGAGCCAGGCTCGGGGAACAGCCCCTGAAAAGGGAAAATACTAATTCATTATTTGTTATGATGGTGAGGACCTGGTACTAACTAGTTCCAGAAGCTCTCAGTGGAATCCTAATTGAAAAGGTAAATAGCAATCGAGGCCATAAACAGCGGTGACGCACTACAGCCCACCAACAACTGACGCCGAAAAGCTGTTGGCTGAACGAATTAAGGGCTATAGGCATGCAGAGGCCTAGGTACTGTAGACCAGGGGCTTCCTGGAGTATTTCAGGGACGCAAGACGGGTATCATACCTTGCAGCGGCAAGATAGGTGGTGTCTCAGAAAGGAGGAAGGGCCCAACTGGCTAGTAGGCACCCTGGCATTTCCCACACCATGAATGAAAGAGGCGGGAAACAGATTGGAAATACCAGTTCAACTCTGCAGGTAATTGGGGGTTAGTTAAAATTATGGGTAGGGATGCAATAAGATGAATATATTGTGTGTGTGTGTGTGTGTGTGTGTGTGTGTGTGTGTGTTTAATGTTTATTATGTGAGAAAGAGACAGCAAGCAGGGGAGGGGCAGAGACAGAGGGAGACACAGAATCCGAAGCAGGCTCCAGGCTCTGAGCTGCCAGCCCAGAGCCGAGGCGGGGCTCAAATCCACAGACCGCGAGATCATGACCTGAGCTGAAGTCCCCGCCTAACGGACTGAGCCACCCAGGTGCCCCTGAAAATTGTATTTTAAGGCAAGCAATATGGATCCCTTTAGAGAGAGACCAGAGCTGAAGGCAGGGACTCAAATTAGAAGACTAATAGAACAGTCCAGGTACCAGGTGATGAAAGCCTGGATTAATATAGTAGCAATGATTGTAAAGGAAAACTGGACAGGCTCTTGTGAGTGATGAAGTTAAAGAGCTGAAGAGGGAGGTGAAAAAATCAGATGGATTTTTTATGTTGACCGAGGGAATTATGGCATTTCCAAATAAAAATATTCTACCAGCAGTTGAAGATCTTAGACCTAAGTTATTTGATTCAAAACTTTGGCTTAATGCAGAAACTCCACTGTATTTTTGCCTCCAAAGATGGTGAGTCAGTTCCATTATTTTACAATGGAGCCTCAAGTCACTGTGATACAAGTCTAGATTTCCTTTTTGTGGGGATTAGAGGGTTTTGAAGTCCAGATGTTAGACAATTTAGGGTATTGTCTGTGCCTGCCCACTCTTTGTGCGTACTAAGTATTTCTTGAACATGTTAGGCACCTCAACAGTGGATGAAACCCGAGGGCAAGTAAATAGGGTGGAAAACTGAACCTTAGACAACACCTCAAACTAGGGAATGAGGCAAAAGCGTCACTGATGGGGACACTCCGAAAAATTTTAACCAAAAGCGGGTCACAGCTGCAAGCAGGTCAGAATTAAAAAAAAAGAAAAAAAGAAAAAAAAAAAGGTACACTCTTTTCTCTCAACTTAGCTGTTCTTTTCACTTTGTTTTGTAACTCCCAGTCTTAGCTTCTATACTTGAAGGCAACTATTTTTGTCCTGTTCAATTTTATAGCCCCAGGGCCTATCAATGTCTGATATATATATTAGACACACAGACGTTTGTTACATATATTACCAAAGGCAACAGAGGACAGAGAATGAAGACAGATAAAAAGCCAGTGGAAACCCTCAAGTAGTGGCATTTTATTATAAGTACCCATCCTCTGGTCTCATAAAAGTCTCTTTAGGGGTGCCTAGGTGGCTCCGTCAGTTAAGCATCCAACTTCGGCTCAGGTCATGATCTTGAAGTTCGGGAGTTCAAACCCCGTGTTGGGCTCTGCACGGACAGCTCAGAGCCTGGCACCTGCTTTGAATATAATCTCCCTCTCTCTGCTCCTCCCCTGCTTCTGCTCTCTCTCAAAAATAAACATTTAAAAAAAATTATTAAAAACAAATCCCTCTTTCACTTCCTGGACAACCACTAAAGGTCTGGTAACTTGGATGGACTTGCTTTCATAGGTCATATTGAAAGTGTGCTTTTTTTTTTTTTTTTCCCTATGGGACAGGTTTTCAGGCAGTGTAATTTTAAGAAAACGTCTCCAAAGGGACAAAAAGAAAATGAGTTGTTTCACTTAACAGATGCATTGAGATAGACCCTCAAAAACCATAGCAAAAGCCATGCATAGGTTCAGAATAACTCACTGAACTACCCTCTAATTCATAAATGTAGGATTCACAAGTTGCTTTGGAACAAGGAATAGTTGTGTGTACTCTTACAACAGAAATGACATTAGAGACAGTCACAGCCTCAGGTGAGTTCAAAAACACCTATTTATCCTAGAACACACTTGAAACATGTTAAAGTGTACTTTTTAGGGGCGCTCAGGTGGCTGGGTGGCTCAGTCTTGGTTTTGACTCAGGTCATGATCTCATGGCTTCATGCGTTTGAGCCCCACATCGGGCTCTGTGCTAGCAGCACAGAGCCTGCTTGGGATTCTCTCTCTCCCTCTCTAGCTGCCCTTCCCCCATTCATGCTGTCTCTGTCTCTCTCAAAATAAATAAATAGGCTTAAAAAAAAATTTTTTTAAGTGCACTTTTTCCAAAAAACAAAAACAAAAACAAAGCAAAAACCCTAACCGTTATAAAAAGGTTTCTTATGGAAAATATATCTTGTTCCAACTTGGGAAGTCAGGAACATATCTTCCTTTTTCTTCAACCCTGTAAATGGGCAAAGAAGCTACCCTTACCACCTACTGCACAACTGAAACCCTCAAATACCTTCACAGCCCCAGCAAAATTAACAAAGTACCATTTTCTTGTGCTTAACTCCCCCCACCCTCCCATCTTTCTAATCTCAGAGTGGGTAGGGGGTGGGAACAGATAGCAGGCAGAAAAAAAGGAAAGGAAAAGGATGAGGTCCTCACGGCAGTGGCTATTCCTGGGGAAATGAGGCACAGATACCACAGCACTTCGTTTTATTAGGGATTTCATTAAGGTTAAATCTCTAGAAATGAGGAAGTCAGGGAACACAAAGCCGATGAAGCCGTCTCAGATCTCATAATGAACCACAGGCTCAGGCTCTTTGGTGGGATCGCCGCCTCTTTCCAGGTACAGATTGTTATAAGGATACTGCTTTGGCCCCTGAGGAAAAAACACAGGTCAGCAAGATAGCATACATCCAGCCAATACCTGGCTACACCCCACTCTGAGTTAACAATCACACATGGTAAATGGGTATGAGGTGGCCTCTGGTCGGACCCAGCTGGGCTAGAACAGCAGGAACACTGCTCCTCCTCCCTACTCAGCCCAAGGCAGACAGAAAGCCTAGATTGTAAAAGAGGTGGTGCCTACACTGTGTGTGTGTGTGTGTGTGTGTGTGTGTGTGTGTGTGTGTGTGTGTGAGAGAGAGAGAGAGAGAGAGAGAGAGAGAGAGTGAGAGTGTGTCGGGAGAGAGAGGGAGAGAGAGAAAAGGAAGGAGGGAGGAAGGGAGAGTGCTTTCTAAATGAGACGATGCATCCATCCATCCCACTCTCTCCTGGGGTCGAGACAGACTCAATCTCCTTTAAGTCACTCAGCCTCTAATGGTTCCACCACTAAAGTGGCCTAGCAAATGAGGCGTGCAGGAGCAGCGGTGGGGGAAAGCACAGAGGAGACACGGCTGGGACGTGCTTTAGGGGCTGCTGGCTTTACCAACAAACAGCTGTCAGGGAACACAGCTCAAGGGGAGGAGAAAAGGGTGATGTGCTTACAGAACTGAAAAATGGAAGAGCCACACTGTGTTTCTTGCTCTCCTGAAGAGAAGTTAGTGCTCACACCAGCCCTACGTGCACTCTCCAGCCTGGAGCCCCTGGGGCTTGGTAGGAAGGCTCGTGTCAGTGCACACAGACATGCCAGCTACCATCAGGACATCGATGATCTCTGCAGAGGTAGCACCGAGCAGCCAACTGCAAACATGACAGTCTTCCTGCTTTCAGTTCCTTCCCGGACAATCTACCCTATAGACTACTCCCAGATCAATCATCCTAAACTCCTAGCCTTCATTAGATTATGTCATTTTTCTGTTCAAAAACCCAACACAGTTCGGTGCTGACTAGAGGAAGTCCAGGTCATCACTGGGTCCCCAACCCCTAGCCCAATCTGTACGTGGAACATAGTAGGGTCTTCATAAATATTTGTTGAATTAATGTCTTACTATGCCACTAGTCTTACTATTAATGCCATTGATGTCTTACTATGCCACGAAGCCCAAATCCCTAGCCATGCAATAAAAGCATCCCAACCTAACCAGCTCGCCTCACGATATTTTTTTAACATGGCAATTTCCATACCTAATTTCTGAAATCATCAGAATAACCTGGGAACTTGTTAAATATTGATTTTAGAACCCCACCATGGAGCTACTGAATTAGGCTCTCCAGGAATCTGAATTTTTAGCAGCTCTCTAAGTAACCAATACAGCTGGTTATTCTAGGAATATTTTATATGCCTATTCCATTCCAGCTAACTCATTCTCCTCTTCATTCTATTTTGTCCTGCCCCAAATGTTCTCTCCAACTTCTCCCCACCATCCAAAGTCTATACATATTTTTAGTATTTAGCACCATCCTTCTTTTTAACAGCATCTCACACGTCTTAACACACACATTCACAATTTACATATATACACTAAAACTGCCAAATTCCTATATCTCTGTTCAAATGTTGCTCACCATTTGCTTATCCAAATTAAACTCCCATAAAGCTAGACAGCATATTTTCTGTGTCCTTTACACTCTCCAAAATAAAATGGTCCATGCTTGTAGTAAATACTTAATTGCTTCCAGTACCCTAAGGGAACTGCCCTTCATGCCTCCAGCAGAAGATAGGTTTCAGCTCTAGATTCCTTGACTCTACCTTGAAAGATCACTTGCTAAAACATAATTAGTGAGTACAGCCCCCAAATGGCAACTCTAGAAGACTAGTTGAGAGGCGCCTGGGTGGCTCAGTCAATTGAGTGTCTGACTCTTGGTTTTGGCTCAGGTCATGATCTCATGGTTTGTGAGATCGAGCCCTGCGTCGGTCTGGCAGCACAGAGCCTGCTTGGGATTCCCTCCCTCCTCTCTCTCTATCCCTCCCTCAATATAAATAAAGAAATTTATTCGTTGCTCTCTCAAAATAAACATTTATAGAAGACGAGTTGACTTCCACATTCTCATTCCTCACCTAGTCCTAAACCGTTTCTTCTCTCTTAGGCTGATCCAAGATGTGGGCATGGAGCAGTGCTCTGACTCTGGTGCCAGGCCAATGAGTCAGGCCCTCCACAGGCCTTACCAGGAAGACAGGCTTGGTCTTGGCTGGATCCCTACTCTACAGACTTCACTCCCTCAGGAAACAGGGCTAAGCAAATGTGCCTACGGGGACACTTCTCAGATACTCACCACAGGCTGGTAGGTGGGGTAAGTCTCCCCAACCCAAAACATGAACAGCATGAAGGCCACGAAGCCGAAGAGGTGCTTACACATGAGATTCCAGGAAACAGGTGTAGGGGATGTGTCCACACGGTTCCTGATATACATGTCAAGGTCCCAGTGCATCTGAGGCAGAAAAGCAGATAAATACCACATACTGCTCTTCCTGCAAATGGCAGGCAGTCTGCAAAAGGGTGATCAGAGCCTGATATAAAGTTCAATAAAAGCATTCTATTGCCTCAGGACAATACTCTGAGAATCAAGTGTGAGCTACTCTAGCATATAGGACTAGGTGCTGGCTTAGCTCTAGGTTCTGCTGACTAAAGACAGCTCAATCATGGAAGTTCACAATTTTCAAAGTACATAGTTCTGATTATTTCCAGAAGTCCCATTCCATGTACCACACATGGAACCTCAGATCTCAGATCACTGGACCTTGCTTCCTTGGGCAGAAAGCCTTAATGTTATTTAGACAGCAAAGTGCCATTTAGACTAAAGAAAGAATCCTCCGGAAGATTTAGGGAGAAGGAAGGAAGGTCAAATGGGATATGGATTTCTCACCGGCTCACCCCAGTTCAACCTCAGGTCTTGGTGGTCCCAGTCATACCATGGATCCCTCTCCTGCTGTGAGCGGTCAGGGAGCTTTGGGTAGTCCCCATATCTGGAGAGACAGAAAAACTTCTGGAAGGGGCTCTGAGCAGCCTCACTCAGAAAACTCAAAGTCCCCTCATGTTAGAGATAAGAACCCAAGTGACAGAAAAAATTGCTTCACCTAAGGACAGAGGAAACCACTTTCAAATCAGTATCTCAATTTATAGTCACTAAGCACAGAACTAACCACAAAAGTCCAAAGTGTAAGTAAAACTTCATGTCAAACTCTGGTTTTTATTTTACCTTTTTAAAGTTTATTTATTTGAGAGTGCACAAGGGAAGGAGAGGCAGAGAGAGAGAGAGAGAGAGAGAGAGAGAGAGAGAGAGAGGGAGAGGGAGGGAGGGAGGGAGGGAGGGAGGGAGAGAGAGAGAGAATATCCCAAGCCAAATTCCCCCTCCTCCCCCATCCCAGTGTGGGCTTGAACCCACAAACTGTGAGATCATGATCTGAGCAGAAACCAAGAGTCAGACTCAACGACTGAGCCACCCAGACACCCCTATGTCAAACTCTGCAACATTATAACATATATGCTTGTCCCCCTCTTTCAAAAACAACAAAAAGTCATGCAATGTTATAATGTCAGAGCTGGAAGGGAATTTAGCAATCAATCACTCTGATTCCCTCATTAGACAGAAAATAAAACTGTAGTTTAGTCTGAACCCAAGGTCACCCAGCTAATTGGAATACAAACAAAAGGGGTTCAGATTAGAAAAGCTTTCTCTTCATGGCAACTGTGCTCCCAACCACCAAGTTAGCATACATCTCCATGTCTCAAACACCTCATGGGATTTCCTGCTAAGCTGGGTTTTCCCCCAACAAATCCAGTTTCAGCTTATACAGACTGCTACCAATGCTACTCTTGTCCGCAACAAAATAAGAGGCATAGGAAATGATGACAACTAGTCATGTGTCACAGAAAATGATTGGAAAACAAGAAGAAGAATAGGAGCTGCTAAAACCACTACTGAAAGAGCGATGCTAGGAAAGAAAATGAGGGTGATGGTAATCGCTCCAGATAATTAACCATGGGGATGTTATTTAAAGGGGGGGTGGGGGGTGGATTGGCGTAGGGGAGTTGGCTGCTTAATCCGCTTGACAGTGACTACAATTTCCACAGCCCTAATAGCAAAGATATTTTTTACAAGAAAGATATACACACGAATATAGAGTACTCCATCTACAAATACGGCTCTCAAGACAGGAGTCCAGCTCCAGCCTGATCACGTGTCTGCATGACAGCACCTGAGCCCAGCAGATGCTCAATCTAAATGAAACCTTGCGCTCTGGATGAAGCCAAGGAAAGTTCCTGCTATTCAGGGGTCCTCGAGGGAGCTATTAAAATCCCGGCTTCCTCATTTGAGGAAACAGCCTGAGCCAAGGAGAAAATTGAAGTCCTCTAGGCTGCAGCTGCTCACCCATCACCTCCCACCTCCCTCCACCGAGAAAAGCACCCACACCACTGACTCTGAGGGATCACGAGAAGGTTCAGGGAAAATGGTCAGAGTGGAGCCACGCAACGGAGCTGGCCATTTCCCATCACTACCCGGCTTCCAGCAGACTCTGCATCTCACCCCATGCCATCATCAGGGTACGGTTGGTAGTCTTCTACTCGCATATTATACTTCTTGGCGGCGGCGGCCCGTTCTTCTGGGGTCTTGGGATAGGGCCCCGGGAGCATGTCCTTGGTAACGTGCGAAGCTGGAGAGCAGAAAGGGGCGGGTCAGAAAAGACCTGGTCCCTCCTGCCGCCCCGAAGGCTTCAAGCTGCAGAGGCTGCGGCGGCCCGGGCTTCAAAGGACCAGGTGAGACTTGACCCCTTTCTCTGTGGCTATACCTCCGCCCCCTCGCCGGACACGGCCACTGCAGTATCCGCGATACCCACCCCCCCCCCCAACCCTCGACACACCAAACCTCAGGCATCCCCTTCCCACATTGCGGACTCGCCCGTTTTGGCGAACCTGTCCGTGCACCCAACGGCACCGCGGTCCGGGCTGCCCTTTGCAGCCATCGAACTCCCAGGACCCGCGCCCTGGCCGCCGCCATCTTCACCTTCCTGCAGTTTCACTCTGCACATGCGCAAAGGCTTTGTCACGGCGGCTGAGCCGGGTCAAACGCGACGAGGGAAGCCTGCAGTGAAGGAAAGTCTTAAGGGTTCAACAAGGGCGGGGCTTAAACTGTGTCGGGAAGCCACAGGCAAGATGACCGAATGGATAGAGACAGAAAGCTAGAAGAAGAGAAAATGAATTAAGTCACTACTTTGATATTTCATATTATCGTGTCCCTTTCTCCGTCAGGGGACTCAGACGCTTACAAGGGTAATGGGGACTCAACCCGAGCATCTCCTGTGGACAGCTAACCTACCCGCCCCGCCCCCCTAGGAGTAGTACACGTAAGATGAGTCCGCCTTAATTTCTTCTCTGCTTGCCCTTTTCCTCTCCTTCACTGACACGTTCTCCTTTCATCCCCAAAAGTGATTATTCCTCAAATTCAGCCCTTGGTCTTCCTTGTTCTTGTTCTGTTCTGCAAATTGTTCGATCTTCACGTACAGGCATGGTGCAACACACAAATCGGCCCCAAATTCGCTCCTCAGTTTTACTTCGTGTTTACACTTGAATGTCCCAGTCACCTCAATCCAACAAATGTAAAACGAATCCTAGCACCAGAAACAGCACTTCCCAGACTGGCTAAAACCTCAGATCGGCTAGGACTTGTATTAAATAGATTTCAAGCAGGACTGACCACAGTTGCAAACACTCGCTTAACAGAAGAATGGGGGATATTATCATGTTTGCATGTGAATATGTTTTCACTTTCACATAAGCGGGATTTGCATAATTTACGCAATATAAATGTGCACATATCTTCAGCAACTTCTGGTATGATCACTGTTTTGGAGCAGAATCCATTATTATAGACATTCTCATATATATTACAGCAATAAAAATTATATGAACTATTTGACATATAAAATTGGGGGAGGACTACTTCATAGCAACTTGCCCTCTTGTAAATGAGCATCTCTAGTTGATGTTCAAAATAATTGTACAATTCCTGCATTCATTCAAAGCAAGCCCTGATCTAATTGGGTCCAGAAACAGAGCTGTTCTGATTTATTTACTTATTTTTATCATGATATAATTCATATAACATAAAAGTCATCCCTTTGAAGTGTGCAATAGGGGCGCCTGGCTGGCTCAGTCGGTTAAGCGTCTGACTTTGGCTCAGGTCATGATCTCATGACACCCTGCGTTGGGCTCTGTGCTGACAGCTCAGAGCCTGGAGCCTGCTTCGGATTTTGTGTCTCCCTCTCTCTCTGCCCCTCCCCTGCTCACACTCTGTCTCTCAATAATAAATGAATGTTAAAAAAAATTGTTTTAAAGTGTAACAATAAAGTGATTTTTGGTATATTTACAAAGTTGAGCAATCATCAGCACTAATTCTAAATCATTTTCACTACCCCCAAGAGAAACCCTGTCCCTGATAGTGTATTCCCCCACCCTCTGGCAACACTAATCTGCTGTCTGTCTGGATGGATTTGCCTATTCTGTACATTTCATATAAATGGTATCATGCAATATGTAACCTTTTGTGTCTGACTTACTTCACATAGCGTAATGTTTTCAAGGTTTGTCCATGTTGTAGCATGTGTCAGTTCTCCATTCCTTTTTATGGCCAAATAACATATGGATACACAACCTTTTGTTTATACAGTGGTCAGTTGATAAACATTGGGGTTATTTTCACTTTGAGATTATTGTGAATTATGCTGCTGTGAACATTCCTGTACAAGTTTTTGTGTGGATGTATGTTTTCAATTCTCTTTGCTATATACCTAGCAGTAGAATGGCTGGATTAAAAAAAAAAAAAAAAAAAGAATTTCTGGATCATAGGATAACTCTATGTTTAGCTTTCTGCAGAACTGCAAAACTCTTTTTCAAAGAAGCTGTACCACTTTACATTCCCACTAGCAGCATGTAAGGGTTCCAATTTTTCCACATTCTCACCAACATTTGTTCCTGTCTTTTTTATTATAGCCATTCTAGTGGCCAGGAATGGTATTTCATTGTGGTTTTGATTTGCATTCCCCTGATGACTACAGATATTGAGCACCTTTTCATGTGCTTATTGACCATAGTATATCTTTGGAGAAGTGTCTATTCAAGTCTTTCATCCATTTCTTAATTGGGTTGACTTTTTATTGCTAAGTTGTAAGAATTCTCTACGAATTCTAGAGACAAGTCACTTATCAGCTATATGATTTGTAAATATTTTCTCCCATTCTATGCATTGTCTTTCTACTTTCTTGATGGTGTCCTTTCAGACCGTTTTTGTTTTTTGTTTTTTGTTTTTTGTTTTTTGTTTTTTTTTTTTTTATCCTGGAAGGTGTTGGAATTTGTCAAAAGCTTTCTCTGTCTATTGAGATGATCATGTGATTTTTTTTCTTCTATTAATACGGTTAATTTTCAGATGTTGAACCAACATTGCATCCCTGGAATAAATCCTACTTGGTCATGGTATTTAATCCTTTTTGATATAATGCTGGATTTGGCTTCCTAGTGTTTTGTTGGGGATTTTTGCATCTATATTCATAAGGGATATTGGTCTATAGTTCTTTCTTCTTGTGATATCTTTGCCTCATTTAGGTATCAGGATAATACTTTCCTCATAGTTGGGGAGTGTTCCCCTATTTTTTGGAAGAGTTTGTGAAAGAGTAATGTTAATACTTTTTAAAATGTTTGGTAGGATTTATCAGTGAATCCATTTAGTCCTGGGCTTTTCTTTGTGGAATGTTTTTTTTATTCCTATTTTAATCTCTTTACTTGTTGTAAGTCTATTCAGATTTTCTATTTTTTCTTAAATCAGTTATGATAGTATGTGCCTTTCTGTGAATTTGTCTATTTCACATAGGTTATCTAATTTTTTGGCATACAATTGTATATAGTATTCCCTTGCACTCCTTTTAATTTTTGTGAAGTCAGTAGTAATGACCCTTCTTTCATTCTTGATTTTAGTAATTTGAATCTTCTTATTCTAATTTATTTTTAATTCCCAAGTTTACATATTCAATATACTCTTGTAAAAATACAAATATGCAGATAAAACTTGGGTCTTGGTTGGCACCCACAACCCCAAACCCTCCACAGAGGTAACCCCATTATCAGTTTGGTGTAGCATAGTTACATGCAGCATAATTACATAGTTAAGCTAGTGTATTAGTTTTTTATTGCTGCATAACAAATTACCATAAATTTAGTAGCAGCCCTAAACAACACCAATTAATTATGTCACATTTTCTATGAGTCAGAAGTCCAGACACAGTTTAGCTGGGTCTCAGCTCAGGGTCTCACCAAGTTGATCTTAAGGTATTTGTGGGGGCTGTTGTCCTCATCTGAAACTCTGTGTTTTTTTTCCAAGCTCAGTGGTTGTTGGCAGAATTCAGTTCCTTACAGTTGCAGGACTAAGGTCCCTGCTGTCTTGCTGGCTGTCAACCAGGAGACTTTTTCAGCTTCTAGAGCCTACCTGCTGTTCTCTGCCACAAGGAGTTTACTCCTTCAAATCCAACAGGAGAGAACTTCTTTGGCTTCAAATCTTCCCAGCTTCTGTCACTGCCCTCTAGACCCAGATTGGAAGAGTTAGAGTTATTGAGTCAGGCCCACCCAGGGTCAATCTCCCTTTTGATGAACTCACAGTGAACTGATTAGGAACCTTAATTACATTTTTGCTATATAACATAACCTCATTGAAGGAATGATACCGTACCATATTCATAAGATCTGCTCTTATAAAACGTGTAGGGCACGTACACGATGGGATAGAAATCTTTGGATCCATCTTAGAATTTGGCCTCCCAGAACTGGCCGTAAAAACTGTCTAAATAAGCAATAGAAGTCATTGAGAAGGCCTTTTACAACCAATACAAATTGTTGGAAAATGTGAGACGCTCATGGTTGGCCATTAGTAATAATCTTGGTTCCGTGGCAGAAACATCTTTCAATGGGGCACCTGGGTGGCTCAGCTAGTTAAGCGTTCAACTCGATTTTAGCTCAGGTCATGATATCACTATTGTGAGATTGAGCCCCACGTCAGGCTCCACATTGTAAGTGCAGAACTTGCTTGGATTCTCTCTCTACCTCTCTCTCTGCCTCTCCCCTGTTCTCTCTTTTTCTCTCTTAAAAATAAATAAATGGGCGCCTGGGTGGCTCAGTCAGATAAGCGTCCAACTCTTGGTTTTGGCTCAGGTCATGATCTCATGGTTCATGAGTTCGAGCCCTGCATGAGGCTCTTTGCTGTCAGCACAGAGCCCGCTTCAGATCCTCTGTCCCCCTTCCTCTCTGCCCCTCCCCTGCTTGGGCTGTCTCTCAACTTGCCATATTATCTTTTGTTTAGGCCTTCAGAGCAAACTTTGCCCAACATCTATCAATCTGCCTTTCCCTTCTGACTTCCTTAGGTCAAGGGTTGGCTTCTCTCCCCATCCATGACTGTAAAGTTTAAAGCCCCATTAAATTGGCCTCCTTCTCTGCTTCTTGTGTAGACTTGGGCACACTGAAGCAGAAATAATATTTTGTGGATTGAGTAACCAGGTGATCACCCCTATTCAGTAGGTCTAACCTCTGGGCCCCAAGTCTTCAGGGGCGGAGCTTAGTGTGTAGAGCTGTAGGTCACCATTAGGAGGAGCTCTCCCCAGGCCCCGGTTCCGCTTCCTTTGTGTCTCCGGACCGCTCTCTCTCGAAGTCATCTCTATGGTTTCCGTTGTAGTTTATCCGGAATAGGCGGAGCTTCCGGTTCCGGTGGGGCAGTCTGTAGCGAAGGAGATGGCGGCGACAGCAGCGGAGGCCGTGGCCTCGGGCTCTGGAGAACCTCGGGAAGAAGCTGAAGCCCCCGGCCCAGCCTGGGATGAGTCCCAACTGCGCAATTATAGCTTCCCGACCCGGCCCATCCCGCGTCTGAGTCAGAGCGACCCCCGGGCGGAGGAACTTATCGAGAATGAGGTAGGGGGCGGGGCCCCGCCCGAAGGGGGAGGGGGAAGGGACCAGGTTGAGAAGAGAGGTCAAAGGTGAATGGTGATGGATGTGGGGGACTGGCTGGGCTGTCGCCTAGAACCTAAGGGAAGATGGAGAGGGAGGCGAGGAGACATGGGCCTTAAGGGGTTCGCGCTTGTTCACAGTAGAAATTATTTTGAAGTGGGAAAGTTTTTGGAGTCATGAGACAACAATGCACCAAATCCTTGGGATGACTTCATTTGTTTTTTTCACTTGGTTTTTCCACTTAGGAGCCTGTGGTGCTGACAGACACAAATCTTGTGTATCCTGCTCTGAAATGGGACCTTGAATATCTGCAGGAGAACATTGGCAACGGAGACTTCTCTGTGTACAGTGCCAGCACCCACAAGTTTTTGTACTACGATGAGAAGAAGATGGCTAATTTCCAGAACTTTAAGCCCAAGTCCAACAGGGAGGAAATGAAATTTCATGAGTTTGTTGAGAAACTGCAGGATATACAGCAGCAAGGAGGGGAAGAGAGGTAAGTTCTCAGATCATGATTTCCCACTGAATCTGGGGCATCCATTTTCCTTTCTTGTAGCTGCTTGAGCATATAGAGGAGTTGGATGAGTTCTCTAGCTTGAGAGATGAGAGAATTTATTAGATTTGAATTGGAACTCTGAAGTTCTTCGTCGTCTTTACAAGTGGGAGAGTTGCCTGGAAGGGTCAGATAGGTGAACAAAGCGAGTGAAATTGTTTAGATGAAAACTACAGTGAAGTTGAATGCACATGCCCTGTTCATAGTGAGAAGTCATTACTTGACTCTTGTTTCTATTTGGGAGTGCAGTTTCAGGGTTTGCCAGATACTCTCATTTTTCAAGAAAAGCCAGAAATCAAGATTTTTACTTAAATGTTTGTTTTTTTTGTTTTTTTGTTTTTTTTTTTTTTTTTGACTTTTAAATGTGGGCAACTAATTCACATTTTTGTTTTTTGTATACGTTTTTATGTTAAATTTTTTTATTAAGTTTATTTTTGGAGAGAGAGAAAGAGCGTGTGTGCACACATGCTGGGGATGGCCAGAGAGAGAGTGAGAGAATCCCAAGCAGGCTCCGTGCTGTCAGTGCAGAGCCCAGCACGGGGCTCAAATGCAGGAACCGTGAGATCATGATCTGAGCCAAAACCAAGAGTCAGGTGCTTATAACTGAGCCACCTAGGTGCCCCTAATTCAAATTATTAAAAATGCTGCGGGGGGGGGGGGGAGGGGGGTTGGGACAAGCAAAAACAACTCAATTGGATTTAGCCCTGAGATTGCCAGTTTGTATTCTGTGTCCTAAAATATTGGGCTGGCTGGGGACTATTGAAACTGGAACGTTTTATAGATTTTCATGATTCTGGGGTGAAGGATATCAGGATCCACTAGATTAGGGAAGATCAGATTCAATGGGGGAGGGGTTGATACAGATTTTCATATTGTACTAGAGATAGCAAACACAAGACACACACAGAAGTGACTCTTTCTCCTCTTATTCTAATATGCGAAATGAAGACAGTCTCTGAGGTAGGTCCCAGACAGAATTCAGTTCCATGCTATAACATTGTTTCTAGGAATTGTTGTCACTGAGTATGTCATGGTGAATGATATCTCTGTCGCACACTTGGTATCCAGCTCTGGGTTCCTCTTTAGTCTCCTGCCTCAGTTCTTTTCCTCTTTGTTAGCAGCATATGGCTGAGTGAATGGATTCAAAATATCTTTTTTTTTTTTTTTTTGGCTTCCTGATACTTTGCAGTTATCTTAATGATAGAACTTTAACCAAAAAGAGTTTCCAAGATCTCAACCATGATTGATCTGTTCTTTATGTCTTACAAAGGCTGCTGTACCTGAATCATCTTGTACATTAGTTTCTTCAGATTTAACATAGCGTGTACATGTGTGTGCATACATCCACACATACCCCAACGTTTGGAGAGAGGGCGTTTAAGTGGTGCTGGAGTGTAATTCCACTAAATGAACATTTGTACTGGAAGGAGCTTGAAATTAGACACATGTGCACACATGCTGGGGAGGGGCAGAGAGAGAGTGAGAATCCCAAGCAGGCTCCTTGCTCTCAGTGCAGAGCCCAGCGCGGGGCTCATACGGAGGAACCGTGAGATCGTGACCTGAGCTGAAACCAAGAGTCAGGTGCTTATAACCGACTGAGCCACCTAGGTGCCCCTAATTCAAATTTTTAAAATTAGACACTTTAAGTTTCTTACTTCCCTTAGGGGGAGCAGTTTGCCTAAGTATAAACTATGAGTGTAGTCTGTACTTTATGGGTGATTGAAGGAAAATTTCTTTCTTTGTGCAAGTTCTGCCACACCAGCTGACTTTATCACCAATCAACTCCATTGTGTAATTGTACGGATTGTTAAGGTTCTAGGAATTCTGAGATTCCTCTTTGAGCTCTTTTGACCATTTACTGTTCAGCTATAATAGGAATTGCTTGGATTCACATTTGGTGAGTGTTCTGCCTCTTTCAAAGTTACTTGGCAAAATTTCTATATGAATATGTATTTTATAATCTCTGGAGAGAGTCTGAAGGTTACAATCGAGTCTTGAGGGTTCCTTGTCCCCCAAAAGATCGCTAGTGTTTACAACTTGTCAAGATTTCTAGTTAATATTGTCTTAAACATCCTGGTTCTAGGCACTGAGAAACTTTTGAGCCTTTTTTTTTTTTAAGTTAATTTATTTATTTTGAGAGACAGAGACAGAGAGTGGCCGGGGGAGGGGCAGTGAGAGAGGAGGCGTGAGAATCCTAAGCAGCACAGAGCCCGACATGTAGCTCATGTCCTGAGCCAAAACCGAGTTGGACGCTTAATCCACTGAGCCACCCAGGCACCCAATGTGCCTTTTGAAGTAATGGTCTCAGGACTAGGATGGGGCTTTTGCATTTTGTCTTCATGTTTGCCCCTTTATTAATATTTCTTGTGGGGCTTGATCAAGTGTGTCTGGGTTTTCGTATCCCTTAAGTAACTTATGATCTTCCACAGTGTATTAGGAGCCCTGGGTCTGCAGAAAACCTGATGAGGCCTTCAGCTGTAGAAGGCTACTACAGAGAGATGGCTCAGGTAGTTAAGATAAACTAGGGTTCAAGCCAGAGTCAATGACTTGAAACAGCAAAGGTTTATTTAGCTTTATAACAACAATAGTCATGCTGCATTTCCATCCACACTTCATGTCGAGGTTCTGCTCTTACGTCTTTTTTTTTCAGTTTGGGACCCAGATTGCCCCAGCAGCTACTATCTGAAACCTTGTAGTTGTTTAGCAGAGAGAAAGGGACGTGGTGGTAGTGTATGCTCGTTCTTCAGATTACAGTTTGGAAGCAACACAAGTCATTTTTGCGGACACTTAGTTGGTCAGAGTAAGTTAAATATGCAAGCTTGGCTTCAAGAGGGGTACAGAAGAATTAACTCTCCCACAGGGAGGGAACTAGCTCTTGGTGAACAGTAATACGATTTACCATAATGCCCATCCAGGGCCAAAGAGGATGTCTCAGGCCCAGAGAGTCTGTGGAACAAGGCTGATTAATCATTCTAGACTCTATGAGTAGGCTTTGAGGAATCTATGCAATTCTGTGTGTATGTGCATTTTTATGGAAACCTTCCCTAGATTCTTAGATTTATGCTGTGACCCACCAAGGGTTGAGAATCACTTCTTAAGGGCTCCTGGCTGGCTCAGTTGGTAGAGCACACAACTCTTGTGAATTCAAGCCTCACATTGGGCATAGAGCTTATTTTAAAAAAAAGAATCACTTCTTTGAAATATAAGTTTGGTGTTGAACAGAGCTCAGAGAAGGATAGGCAAGGATTCAGTTTTCAGAGAATCTGTCTTGGTTAAGATTTGCATGACTGCAGCTGTTCTGTGGGAGGTGCAGGTGTGGATTTGGATTTCCAGGTGTGGAGAGGCCATGTCAAGGGACTGTGTACGTGCACTAATGGGATCTTCTTCTCGGGGAACATAGGTTGTATCTGCAGCAAACGCTCAATGACACCGTGGGCAGGAAGATTGTCATGGACTTCTTGGGTTTTAACTGGAACTGGATTAATAAACAACAGGGAAAGCGTGGCTGGGGACAGCTGACATCCAACCTGCTGCTCATTGGCATGGAAGGTAAGAAATCTTTCAGAAAGCAGCATAGCTTAGAGTCGTACAAACCTGATTTCAAGGCCTGTCTTCACCAGTCATTTGCTTTATGACTTTGAACGAGTCACTTAACTTTCTTAAACTTCAGCCTTCTTACCTGTAAAAGGAACATGATAATATTTTATAAATAACTCTAAAGATTCAATGAGATGATGTATGTTAAGCAAGTAAGCTTGTTTCATGCACTGGAAAAAGAAAATGAGTTCTTTTCCCTTCCTCAGTTCTTCACGAGTGTGTACATTCAGATATTAGGGATCTTCCTGAAAAGGTTGCTGTTCTCTTTTTGATCTGTCTATATTCAGAAGATTTTTATCCCAGTAGAAGAGGCAAGCTTATTTTTTCAATATAAATTGAACCTTATCTTTTGAATGTTAATATATTTATGGAATTAAATTCAAAAGGTATAAACAGGTGTGTAATGATAAATTTCTATTCCACTCCTGTTTCCCAGCCTCTTGTGTTGCTCCCTGGAGACATCTGCATGTTATTAGTTGCTTGTGTACCCTGCTAGCTGATTTTATGCATACACAAGCAAATATGTGAATACGTTCTTTTATTTTCTTACTCATTTGAATAAAAGGAGAAGCCTTTGAACTCCAGTCAGAAGAAGGAGAGCTGCTTACTGGCTGGGGTCGTTGTCTCATTCTTATTTTTATTTCTGGCACTAGCTGAAGGCCAGGCCCATAGTAGGTATTTAGTAAATGGTGAATAATTTGTATTGAACAAGAAAGTAATTGTTTGTTGTCCTTCACCACTGGGCTCTGAAGTCTCTTCTCCTCCTTTGATTGTCCTTTCTTCAGTTTTGGATTCTTTGCTGCCAGTATTAATAAAGATTTCTAGCATTGCAGCTTATGGATTGTATCCTTAACCTGCCCCTTTGAAAGCAACTCTTGACTGACCTGGCAGGAGCCAGTTGTAGTTTACTTAACTAGGAGTTTTGCTGCTGCCTTCTTGTCCTTTGGTAGAGTACACAGAAGCGGATCCCTCAGGTAGAGATGAGAGAACAAATCTTTGACGATGCACATGAACTCTCAGCATGTCAGAGGGCGACTGTCTTGGCCCACCCAGGCTGACCTGAGGAGTGTTTTCTAACCTTCATGCTCTGCAGAGGACCCCTCAGCTCCCAAGGATTGTGCAAAGAATAAACAACAGATGAGGTCCCAGTTATAAAAGAGTAGATTGAGCATATATACACTAAGGCAGAAGTAATTCAAGGTGGCATTTTATTTTATTTTATTTTATTTTATTTTATTATTTTTTATTTTTATTTTTTGAGAGAGAGAGAGAGCGCGCTCGCACACACAAGTGAGGGAGGAACAGAGAGAGAGGGAGACACAGAATCTGAAACAGGCTCCAGGCTCTGAGCTGTCAGCGCAGAGCCCGATGTGGGGCTCAAACCCAAAAAATGTGAGATCGTGACCTGAGCTGAAGTTGGACACTCAACCAACTGAGCCACCCAGTGCCACAAGTTGGCGTTTAAAATTATTAGCCTTAGGGGCGCCTGGGTGGCTCAGTCGGTTGAGCGTCTGACTTCGGCTCAGGTCATGATCTCACAGTTTGTGGGTTCGAACCCCGCAGCAGGCTCTGTGCTGACTGCTTGCTCAGAGCCTGGAGCCTGTTTCAGATTCTGTGTCTCCTCTCTGTTTCTCCTCTCTGTCCCTCCCCTGCTCACACTTTGTCTCACTCTGTTTCTCCAAAGTAAGTATAAAAAATAAAATAAAAATAAAGTTATTAGCTTTATAAAAATTATACAACACTCTTCAGGAATCTGATATACTCTCCCGATTCCTTTATGAGAATTAACAGCCCCACTGTTGCTCTAAGAAGTGTTGCATCCCGTAGATGTGTTGAAGTGGGAGCAAAGATTGAGAATCTTTGAGCTCCAGGAGAGCTACTCCAGGCAAATACATACTCATACAACTTGGAATGACCGGTTAATCCCATCAAAGAAGTTATGTGTGTGTTGTTGATCCCAGTCATTTCGGTTGTTTCTAACTCTTAGTTTGCTACTCTTGAATTCTTACCATAGTCAAGAAAGGTACTAGTATGCACAGTATATTACTTTGCCAGACTTGTGAGTATTATCTTGATGCGCTGCTGCTTCTAGTAAGGACAGAAGCATCATTTATGAAAGTTTGCTTTGCTCCAATTTATGGTGAACTCTTAGCCAGTGATGGTTTCTAAACAACTTACTACCCACTGAAAGTGCAACACCTAATTTGCTGAGAGTTGTAATTGCAGTCTCCCTGATTCGGCTTGAAATTTTGATTGGGAACCCTTAGCTGAGAGGGCAGACTGGGTTTCTCCAGCATTGGGCCTTGTGTTTCAGCCTATGCAGTAGAGCCAATGCTCTGAATAAGACCTGTCTTTCCTCCCACAGGAAATGTGACACCTGCTCACTATGATGAGCAGCAGAACTTCTTTGCCCAGATAAAAGGCTATAAGCGATGCATTTTATTCCCTCCGGATCAGTTTGAATGCCTGTACCCATATCCTGTTCATCACCCATGTGACAGACAGAGCCAGGTGAGCTTGTATGGTCTGAGGAGGGTATAGGACTCCTTTGGGATACAAGGTTGGCATGTTTTTCCCCTTCCCCATGGATAAACTCAGGATAATTTTACAGTATAGTTCACATCATCCAGGCCCCTGTGGTGATCCCAAATGTATATAAGGATAAACAGTCCTGTTGCAATTCTGGAGGGCAAACTCCATCACTGATGCTGTGGACTCTGGTTACCTTGTTTGAATGTGTATGTCTCCACTGGGTTTAATAATTGTTTTCTGTTGTCGTGGATACTTGTTCTTTTTGATAAGGAGAAGGGTGAATAGAATTGAGATATATCACTTACTGTCTTTCCTGCATCTAAAAGAAGTATATGGTTGATTTTATGGCCAACCAGAGAGGTCCTCTCCTTTCTTGAGAAAACTGCCTAGCCACTTAATGTAGGAGTTTTTGCTGGCTAGAACGTGTGTGTGGGAGAAAGTTTCAGAAGGTCTGGTTGAAGGATGCATCCTTAATTCCTCATATTGGCAGGCCATGAGTAGGTTTTCTGACTTGCAAACTGTGGTGATTGGCTTCTGATCTCAGGAGCACTGAGGCCCAGGATTCTTTATCACTTAATCTTTGAGCATGGCCTGTCATAACATTGTTTTTTGAGAGAGAGAGAGAATGTGTTTAATGTTTGTATGATATCTTCCGTCAGGTATGAATTCTAAACACGTCTTTTTTTCTTAAAGCCATCTTTTTTTTTTTTTTTGACTACCAAACTAGTACATCATAGTTAATAATAAAGATTTGGTGATTGACTGATTTTTTTTTTTTTCTTTCTCTTGAACCTCTCAGGTGGACTTTGACAATCCTGACTACGAGAGGTTCCCCAATTTCCAGAACGTGGTTGGTTATGAAACAGTGGTTGGCCCTGGTGATGTTCTTTACATCCCAATGTACTGGTGAGGAGGGGGCTAGGACTGGGGGCTTCTTGGGAGCTTTCTTTCCCATTCCCTGGAAAACTGTATTTTGTCCCTTCTGAGTTGTGGCAGGATTGGTCTACAGGAAGGTTGGCATATCCAGATGTGAGCGTACTGAACATGGAGGAAATGACAACCCTCCCTGTCTCTAGGACAAGATGACAATTCCTCAGGTCAAAAGAGATCCCAGAGGCTTGAGGCTGGAGAAACTGTTCTTGGCTCTTTTGTATTTGGAGACTGAACACCACTGCCTCTGGTCCCGGGTGTGTTTCACAGAATAAGTGTAACGATAACGTCCTTGTTATTTGCCCTAGCTGGAATTTACCACTTTTTTCCATTCCTCTCTCTAAAGAATATTGGTGGCAAACAGGAGCATGTTTATTTTCTTGCAGGTGGCATCACATAGAGTCATTACTAAATGGGGGGATTACCATCACTGTGAACTTCTGGTATAAGGTGAATATGGGTTTTTTCCCCCTAGATGGGATTGGGGTGAGGTAGGTGTAATAAATGATTTGGGGGCAGGGTGGGGAGGTTCGCTATCTCTGCAAGTGACTCCCAGGTCTTTGGGGAGATGAGGGATGGGATTGAACTGGGCTTCTTAAAAGGGAAGAAGCTTCTAGAACGGTGGGTTACACTGAAGCCTGCTGCTAAAGGCATTTCCTGAGCTGCTGCTTCCTTTGCAGGGGGCCCCCACCCCTAAGAGAATTGAATATCCTCTCAAAGCCCATCAGAAAGTGGCCATAATGAGAAACATTGAGAAGATGCTTGGAGAGGCCTTGGGGAACCCACAAGAGGTATGTGGCTGCCCCAAGGTGGCACTCCTGTGGCCCATTGGGCAGAGTGACCAAGAAAGTCAGGATTGGTGTCACGTTCTCCATAGCTCCTCTGTTTCAGTGTCTGGTGTCCTTTCTCTCCATAGAGGTTATGGGTGTGTTCAGAAAATCTTTGTTTTCTGGTGAGAGCTGGGCTTGACTGGTGGATCAATTATAATCTGTTCCATGCTAGTGGTAATGTTCCCCGTGGGGCTTGTGTGCCAGCTGGGGACCCCTGAGGGGATTCTTCTGGAACGGAAAGCGAGCAGTAAAGCATCTCCTCACATTCTCCCAGCGGTGCCAAGGCTGCTCTAGGTAATGTTGAGACCTGCTTCCCACACAGGTGTGCCAGTGGCCCATTGGGTACCCAGGGGAGGTATTTGTAATGCTCTTGCCTTCTTCCTGTGGATAGCCTCAGCATGCAGAGGACCTGTGGGATTGGGAGGTGGCACCAGCCCCAATTGCAGGTGACCGTTTCAGGATACAGAGGCATTTAACCTTCTTAAATCACATTTAAGAAACATGCAGGCACTCTTGGGTGGCTCCTCTGACCTGTCAGTTTGGTGCTGCTTATAAGGTATTGTGAGAGGGAAAGTATTACAAGATGGACCCAGAGGAGGGGACCATGTCCTGGAATATTTTCCAGGAAGAGAGTAGGTTAGAGGGTTTTAAAGATTGAAAGCCTTGTCCCTGCCCTTGGCTGGACATCGAATGCCTCCAGACACACCACGTCTGGTTCCAGGGCCAGGGGACAGGCAGTTCTGACTGGCTCCTCATGTCTCTTCACAGGTGGGGCCCTTGTTGAACACAATGATCAAGGGTCGATACAACTAGCCTGCCAGGAGTCGAGGCCTCCTGCCAGGTGACTGCTAGCCCGTCCACACCGCTTCATTGATGAGGACAGGAGACTCCAGGCGCTAGTATTGCACGCTGCACTTAATGGACTGGACTCTTGCCATGGCCCTGGAGGCAGGTGTTTGGGGCAAGGCAGGGTGGTTGGCACTCCACTCCCATTTGGAGGGACTTCTTGCCCTTGCCTCTGTGCCCCAGCATCTTCCCTCTCTGCCCCCTAAGGTCCTGCATTCAGTGTGTGGAGTCCCAGCTTCTGGTTGTCATCACATCTGTGTGTGTCAGTCTGTCACCCTCAGGATGTGTGTGCGTGTGTGTGCATGCACACGCATGTATGTATCTGTTTCTTGCTTTCTCCTGGGTCAGGATGGCGCTGCTGGCTCTCAGCCCTGTCTCCTGCAACCTCAGTGCCTCGGCCTGAGAGAGAGGAGATGGTCTTGGACACCCACCACACCTGGGCTGCAGGGCCAGAGCTCTCCTGACCATCAGGTCAGTCTGCCTCCTTCCAGTTTTCGCAGAGTCAGGCTCTAGGCTGGGTGGGAATGGCCACCGGGACTCTTCGTGGGGAAAGTGAGAGGGAAGTTTGCCTCTATGAGCCTAGGTAGGCTTCCTGTGAGAGAATTAGACAAGGTTCTGACTCGGACCTGTAAGCTCAAGCCATACATAGAAAACAGCCTTGGGGTACGAGAACCAAGGATTGTGTATAAGTTCCAAATTGCAGACACATACAGCTTCTCTCTTTCAGCACCAGCTCTTGGCTCCCTGTGCTGAGTACCAAGGGAGTCCTCCTGTAGTGGCTTCTCTAGGTTCTAGGGGTATAAGCCTCTGTGGATGTGTGTGTGGTGTGTGTGTGCATGCGTGTGTGTGTCCACACTGGCCTGCCTCTCTGCTTACCAGGTTTCTCCACTGCTTAACCTTGTCCAGTGGGACAGACAGTGTGAGCCCCAGGGAAGTACCGCCTGACCTAGCCTAAAGCTTTTACACTTAGTTTTAGCCATTGGACACTCTTCGGGTCTCACTGCAAACTGCCTGAGGCTGACTGGCTAGAGCGTCCAGGCCCTGTGACCCTCACTCCCCAGGCCACGTCCTCTTCTGCAGTCCTTCCTGGCTGAGTAGATGAAATGGGGTCAAGCTTAGGCAGCTAACTTGCCACTGTCATCCACCTCAGGGCAAGGACAAAAATGTAGCCTTGCCTCTTAAAGCCAGCTCCTCTGCCAGACCCCACTGTAATGTTCCACAAACACTCTTGAAAGTCAGGGCAACCGATGGAGCACAGAAGTGGAATTTTTTTTTTTTTTTCCTGTTCATTGTTACTTGTGGGAACCCGTGTCAGGGCCGCAGCTTATAGCTGGGCACTGCACCACTTGAAGGGCCATCAGTCACATGACTCAGTGGAACTGGGGCCCCTGGAATTGGGCAGTGTGGTGGCCCTGTGTCTTCTCACCTCCAGTCCCATCTCCATGTCCCTTCTTCCTGGAAGGAAAGAGGAGCTGGAGTTGGAAAACTGATTTTATCCCCCCCCCCTTTTTTTTTTTTGCCAAAGGTTTACTTTCAGTGTCTGAGCTGTGGCTCTAAGTCCCGAAGCTCAGTTTACAGTTACAGCGCACTGATGGACTGAGAGGGTGTGTGTATGTGTGTGTGCATCTGTGTATGTACTTTGGGGAGGGACGTCTATTTGTAGTGCCCCATTCTGGGGTTCTCTGATGCAGCGTGGGTGCGCAAACACGGTACCTTCTCAAGTGTAGTTCTTTCAAATATAGCCAATGCTGGAAAATATGATTGCAGTGATCTCCATCCCTCTATCTCTTTTGGGAAAGAGGAGCACAGCAAAGAAAATAAGGCAGACAGATGATAAACTTGACCACAGTCAAACTTTGAAAGATTATTTTCATTCTCCTTAGCAGGTCTGCTGCATTCCTGGCTCAGCCCTCAAAGATGAGGGTGACGTACGGCAGGAGGCATGTGCCACTCAGCTGGTCCTTGCTGGGTGCTGTGCTGACACAGGTCTGACCTAAGGCTACCAAGGGGGAGGATCCTTTATAGGATTGGTCCTGATCCATGGATAATATAATAGTGACCCTGATAGTTAGACACCTGCCTAGTGTTCTTATCTTGTTCCTCAGCATCCTGCAAGGTGGGTATTCTCATTTCACAGCTAAAGAGATGGGTTCAGAGCAGTTTCAGTGATTAATGGCAGTAAGGATTTAAACCTAGTGCTATTTGGCTGCAAACCCTCTGCTCCCTTTCCACCAAATTGTTGGTTCTCCTACCTTTCCTCCTCCTCTGCACTACAAGCCATCCTCGGATCTCACCCCGCTGTGCAGTGCCCAAGAGGATGCATGAGATACAGTTCAGGGTAAAAGCTCTTCTGGGCTCCAGCTAAAGACCTCTTGGGAAAACTACTGGGAAGCCCTGTTCTGAGTGCAGAGTGCTGGGAGGAGCTGTGGGGAAATGGAGTTCTAGACCCTAGTGCATTATTTGTGTGTCCTTGAATGGGCCCCATAATTTCTCCCAGCACACGTCTGCACCTATGAGATTGAAGATTCAGTTCTAGATAATAACTAAGAACATTGATTCATGTTCTGCTGCTTCCCTTTCCCCCAAGGAAGAGATCTAGGCTCCTTCCCTCACTTACCTAGATTAGGGCTGTTCGGGCTCAAATTCTACTTGCAGCTGAGGAAACTTACCTGCTCTGTTGCTTACTCCTGTGCTGGCCAGCAGTGTAGAGGCAGACACACCAAGGGAAGGTGGGCCTTTGGGCCTGAATGGAGGTCAGCCATATCGCAGGCTCCCATTTTTATACCAGCAGGTACACGGGAAACTACTCTTTTGCGAAGTCAAATATTTGTTGGGGGGTTGGAGTTCGGGGGAGGGAGGCGGGGGGCTGTTCTGGGCATCAGTTGAGCAGATGCCCAGGATGCCTGGGGGAGACCAGCTTCCCGTACAAATCAGAGCTCTAAATTACAAGGTTTTTACCAACGCGAACAGTTGGGGGAAGTCGTCTGCTCTCATTTGCGTAATGGTTTCTGTCACTGGTGATTAGACACAGGATGAAGGAAAAGAAATTTGACAATTAGGAATGAGCGATCATTAATCTGAATCTGTTAGGAGACAGAGAGGGGAAGGATCCTTATCGGTGGGCCAGCCCAGTGTGGGGAGGCCCTCCCTCTGTCCCCACCAGAGACTCTTGGGCCACGTACCCTTTCCTTGTTTCCACAAGCCGACTGAGCTGATATTTCTTGACAGGCTAGGTGGGCCCAGTCCCCAGCCTGAGGTGGATACAGGAATGGACACGTATAGGCATGAGCCATCAGAGAGAGAGAGATGAGTGTCAATTGCAAGTGATAGGGCAAAGGATAACGACAGAATAGTTGTGACATGCTTGCTGTTTGTGGAAAATTTTTTTTAATTCAACACCCCAGATACCCTTCTTGTGACAAGTATTTGTTATATTCTAACACTACAGGGTGTGGAGAAAACCTAGTTTTTATCCTGTAGGAGCTTCTACTTAGTTGGAGGGGAAACCACATGAAACAACCAGCGGTTATGAAGCCATGAATCGTGTGCCCTTGTGAGGACAAGATGAGAGATTGTTGACAGATGAGGAAGATCAGTAGAGAGCAAACCTCTGGGCTCCCCAGGGAGTAATGTTGATTCTTCCCCGTCAGTTCAGCCGTAGTAGTTGTGTGGAGGGCACTGAGGCCCCACCCAGATACGTGAACAGGTAATGAGATCACTTCCAGTGGGCTGAGTTGTAAGGTGTGGAGATTCCCAACCAGGATCTTCCCAGGTCTCTGTGGTACCTGTGTTCATTCTTCCTCTGTCTTCAAACTTCAGGGACTGTATTAATTTGCACTAGTTGGTATTTGTTCCTCAGTTTTGTGACTTGTATGTGGTGGGTTCCTTAGATTAGAAGCTCCCTCAAAGATTGGGGAAAAGGGTGGTTCCTTGTCTCCTGTCAGAATGTGAACTTTGCAGACAGGACTGTTCCTCTTCCTTCATAAGTTCCCTACCTCTGTGGCTTCTACCCTTCCAGATCGGATGCAGAGTTTAGTAGGGCTGCAGGGAATGGCCCTCAGTGACTAGTTTTACCCAAATAGGATGGGTGCCGGGGTGCACTGAGAAGTGGCTCATGGGGTTCCAGGGGCCCTGGCCTTTCAAGCCTGTTCTTGTCCTTCCCTGGGACCTTCGGTGCTCGTTCTCCAGTCCCTGCTGACTTCTCTGGTGTCCTCTCAAGCTTCCTGCATTGAAGAGATGTTCCAGTTTCCCTTTTCAGGGCTCCTCCAGTTTCTCCTACTCAGCCTCCCTCTGTCCAGTCTCCACCAAGAGCCTTTTTCCTGAACGGGCGTTGCCCTCTCTTCAAAAGCCATGTCCATGGCTGCAAGTGTTGGGATAGAGTTTCTCTAGGATCCCTCTCCCTGGGATCAGCCCTGAGCATGTTTGAGTCATCTTCTCTTCTGACCTGCAGTTAGTCTGTTTGTTCTGTGCCTATTCTGCCCACGTAGCATTCCTTTGTTTGTTCGGTGTAGCCTGTTTAGCTTTTCTAACTCTGGTGGCTCTTCTGCTAGTCTTCAGCCGTCTGTTTAATCCTCACAGGTCTTGGGGTCCTTAGTGGAGACTGAGCACTTTCGGTGCGTTTTTAGGGGACGGGGCCTTAGACACTAGCAACCGTGAGGCCTGAGGATCTATGGCCAGTGGTGCCTCCAAAGATGGGTGAGGGGAGGGTACCCAGAGTCTTGGATAACGGAGAATCATGAGGAGGGATTGGGTAGGAGAATCCCCAGGAGTGGGGTCAGGCCTGGCAAGCCAGGGTGGAAGAAGCAGAGTTTTGTGTTTCCATCTGAATGCATCTGTGTGCCTTACGGTCCAGCAAGCAGTTCAGGGATTGTGGTCATCTTGTGGATGTCTCCTGGTCTGTGGTGTCTTCGGCGATGCTCTGAGTCACCACGTTTGGCTGATCTCCGCATTTCAGCGCTTGCTGGGACGGAAACCGCATGTTGAGTAGTTTTGTGTCTGGAGCGAAGGTCTTAGATGAGACAAGCCACGGAAGCTGGGATAGCAGGTGAGGGAGCAGTGGTCAGCTTACCCAGATTGTCTTCCCACTCCTCCAAGTGTTTAGGCACAAAAACTGATTAAAGAAGTGAAAAAAACTAGGCCTTGCCTTCTTCCCCACCCGAAGTCTGGGTTTTAGGTAGTATTTTGGGAAGGGGCATGTGTCCTTACCTTCCAATAGAAGCAACCTAGCGTAGTGTTTTAAAGCATGGATTTTGGAGTCAGATGTGTTTGGTTCTGGTTCAGATTTCTAGCTTTGCCACTTATCAGCCAGGTTTGACCTTGTTGATTGACTTTACCTCTCTGAGCCTCAGTTTCCTCAATTACAATAATATGTGTGGGGGGCGAGGGGGAGTGTTGAAAATATCTACCTCAGGGTTGTTGGATTAACTGAAACGATGTTTGTAAAGCTTTAGCACGTACCTGGCAAGCACTTAATAAATGGCTGTGGTGGTGGTGGTTACGTTTATTATGTGACTTCTTCAGAAACTTTATTTCAGTGATTTGTGAGCAGATTTCCAGTGATTTTTTTTTTTTTTCCTCTCTCAAGAAAACCATAGGAAAGAACAAGGAACATGCCCTGGAGACACCCACATCGAGTCGCAGGCAGACAGAAGGGCTTTGGTACCCAAACCTGTCCTAGAAGGAGGGAAACAGGGAAATGCCTGATGCCTTCTGTCTAGACAGCCAGACTTTACCACTCTCAACACCAGCCCAAGGCCAGGGTGAGAAGTCATCAGGTATGAGCTCTCCTTACGCTATGTGAGGAGTGAGGGCATCTGAAAGAGTTTCCATCACCCCTGTAGAAGCTCTTGCCAGTTTCCTACTGTGAGACACCAAGGCAGTCAAGTCCAACCTCCTTGGTTCAGTTTTATTCCATGCCCTTCACTGTATTTAAATTATATGTGTATTAAGGTAGCTCTGGGGTAGAGTGGCTTTTAGAAGAGAATCCAGAAAAATATCAGACTAGAATCTTAACAGCTACCATTTGTGGAGTGCCCTGGAGCATTTCTGTTCCAGACCCGTTGCTAGTTTGTGTTTGTGTGCTCTCAGTTCAGTGGGGGCACCAACCAGGCAGTTAACATTACAGATGTGCAAAGGAGAAGCTAGGTGTTCACAGCAGGCTTCTTGCAGGAAGTAACATAGGCTAAGCCGATATCTAGAAGTTAACCAGAGGTTGGGGAGTAGCGAAAGGCATACCTTTCTTCTTTGGCTTCTCTCCCAGTTCCCAAACAAACCCTCTGCTCCTCCATGTTTAAGGGTTCTGTTAATAACACCTAGAAAGGAGCCAGGTGATGGACCCTAAAAGAAGAAACCCTTTGGTTAGCCACAGAAATCTTTGGAAATCATTTTGGTGGCTGGCCCAAGTTTGTCCTGGAGTACAGATGGATTGGACTTGCTCCCTTGTAACCTTTCCACTGTCCTCTTTCTCAGAAATCTGTCTGCATTCTGGCCTCTGGAGCCACTCTGCCACCCTACTTGGAAGAGATGCTGGATACTCAGAAGTCAGCCCGAGGTATATTCTGGCTGCCTGGAATTCTCAGCTTCTTCCACACTGACATCCTCCTGATTTCTTAGGTTTTGTCTCCCACTTTGAGCCACTCCCTTCCTCCCCACTATGAGCTGAGCCTCTCTGTAGTGCCCCCTCTGTAGCCACACACAACCTCTTGCCTCTAACCTTGGTCCCCAGCCCCATGGGTGAAGAAGACCCCTCTTTAGCTTGTGCCAAGTCATTCCTGGACTATAGGCCATTCTATAGTCGCTTTGCATTCACCTCTTCACTTCTAGATTTCTTTGGCTCCGGACCCTGAAAGCCTTCTCTTTGGTCCTTAAGGGCAGCTCTACTCCGAAACCCAAAATGTAAGCTATATCTGGGCTAGGTTTTTATTACCTCTCCAATATAAAGTGTATAATGCAACATAGGGTAGTGATTGAGAATGAGGGCTCTGCATACCTGACTTTGAATCCTAGATCTGTCATTCTATATGACCTTGGGCAAAATGACAGACTGCTTGTAACTCCTTTATATATACGGGGATAACTACTACGTGTCAAGGCTGTATGAAATACGGTTTGTAAAGAAAGGCTTAGCAGAGTGACTATTTGATAGCAAGCCTCAGCCCTTCTGTCTTTCAAAGGCTTCACCTCTTTCTCATCTAGCTTTCCAACAGGTCCTGCTTCCAGTCTCAGGGTAAGTCTAGTTGTCAACTCATGAGCAGAGCAGAGATGTGAACTTTCCTGCTTATATTATGAGTCCCTGCCCCTTCTCGGTGACCTGATTCACAGGACCCTATCACACCACCATCACTGGGAAATGGTCTTCCGGAATCTCTCTTCTATAATACTAAAACAATGGCAGTGACAGTAGAAAACGTCAGAACTGCTGCCAAGGGGTAAGAGGCACTGAAGGTGTGTGCAAGCTGGAGGCATAACAGGCAGGGACTCTGAGGCAAGGAGATTGGTGCAGAGGCCACCATACTAGTTGAAAGGCATCAGGACCATGGACTTTAAGGTTCCCTCTAAGTTTTCAAATAGCTTTTGACAGTGGTGTTTGAGCAACATCCTACCCACTTTATAGTCAGTGTGTGGTCCTTGATCTCACAAGGGTTTGTGTGATGTCTTAATAAGAATAGAGGCATTAGATGTGCCTCCCGGGTTTGAAATCCCTATTTGCTGCTTCCCGCTTCCATCCTTAGGTGAGTTGAGGGTTCTTGGTCTTGGCTGCTTCACCTGTGAGGGCTGGGAAATAGCACGTGGCTTGCAATATTGTTACACGAGTACATGGGAATGTTGTAAAAATACCCAGTTCAGTGTGGGCACTTAGGAAGTGGTTTATTATGAAGACCCGAGTGTCTTTGAACAGTGTTCAGTTAGTATTTGGAGAGAAGGAAACTGCTGGCAGCAGGGCCTTTTGGATCCTACTGACTCAGGATACCACGCCTGAAGCAGAATCTCACAGGAGATGGCTTGGTGGAAGAGCAAAATGGAAAAGATCATAAAACTTTGGAAGAGCCTGAATGTCTGTGAGAGGAAGGGCTGGGGACAAAGGTGGTTTTGCCAGGATGGGGTCTTGGGGAACAGAAGCAGAGACCTAAGCTCTAGTTTACCACCTAATTCCCAGAAGGAGAGAGGAAATGGGACAGGAGAGTGTCTGTGGAGGACACTGGCTGAGTGAAAAGAAAACAAGATTCAAGGGCAGTGAACCTACATGTAGATGTACTTTTCACAGGCTGGTTGACTTTGAGCATGTTTGTGTCTATGCTTCAGTCTTCATATTTATAATTGGCTAATACTGCTACTACCTTGCTTACAGTATAGATGGGACAGTTTACATGAAAATGCCGTCTAAACAGAGTACTATGTGTTTGTTGTTGGGTGGTTGTTAGGGTGAGGGTCTAGGAGAACGTTTCCAGAATGGATGAGTTACAGAATTGCAACAGTTCACAGATTAGAGCCTCCCACGTTTTCAGGAGGAAGTAGTAAAGCAGCGTTTCCCACCAGTACACTGTTCTTTCATCCTGCCAATGTTTGACTAGGAAGGATTTTGATTAAAGAAGAAAAAGCAGTGTGGTGAGAAAGGGCAGTTTTGGAGTTGGCATGGACTTGAATCTTGGTTTTACCATTCCCAGCATTGAGATGGTCAGATAACTTACCATCTCTGAGTTTTGGTTTCTTAACAGGCCTCTTCATGTGGCTGTTGGGAATGAATGAGCTGCCTCACTGCCTAGTGCCTATCTAGTAAGTGCCCAGTAAATGTTTGTTCCCTTTCTTTCACTTCTTTTCCCCTTAGACAAGAAAGCTTCAGTTTACCCAGCATAAAAGGGTCTCAGTTATCCATACCTTAATAGGAACAAGTAATACCAGATTTCTAGGGTGAGATCAGTTGCCCTTTAAGGCAAGAAAAAGGCAAGGGAAGAATTGTGGAGAAGGGGGCACAATCCCACAGTGTTGGGGGTGCAGTACAGGGACTCTCATTATTGAGTTGGTACAGGGGTGGGTGAACAAAGGGTGACGTTGAGAGGTGAGAATTTCAAGAAAGAAGGTGGGTGCTGGGGCGCTTGGTTGGCTCAGTTGGTTAAGTGTCTGACTTCGGCTCAGGTCATGATCTTGCAGTTTGTAAGTTCGATCCCCGCATCAGGCTCTGTGCTGATAGCTGGGAGCCTGGAGCCTTCTTCGGATTCTGTGTCTCCCTCTCTTTCTGCCCCTCCCTGCTCACACTCTGTCTCTCTCTCCCTCAAAATAAATACTAAAACATATTAAAAAAAAAAAAAAAAAAGGTGGGTGCTGACTGCTAGAGGGAAAGCAATTCGAGCAGAGGCTGTATGGAGTGGAGGACAGAGTGAACTAAGGGTGAGAAGACCAGAGTTCTGCCAGGAGAACTTTAGGAATAGTGACTAAAAGTCAAAGTTATGAAGATGTCTTGCCTTCAACCAGCTATCATTTTAATACCTGTAAGAGTTGTGGTCCTCTCAGAAAGGAAGAATATAAAAAGAAAGCAGTTATCCTCAAGGTGGAAAGACATGTTGTTGTTGTTGTTGTTGTTTTATTTTATTTTTTTTATTTTATTTTATTTTTTTTTTTTCAACGTTTATTTATTTTTGGGACAGAGAGAGACAGAGCATGAACGGGGGAGGAGCAGAGAGAGAGGGAGACACAGAATCGGAAACAGGCTCCAGGCTCTGAGCCATCAGCCCAGAGCCCGATGCGGGGCTCGAACTCACGGACCGCGAGATCGTGACCTGGCTGAAGTCGGACGCTTAACCGACTGCGCCACCCAGGCGCCCCCATGTTGTTGTTTTTTAAGTAATCTTTATGACCAACGTGGGGCTTGAACTCACAACCCTGAGATCAAGAGTCACATGCTCTACTGAGTGAACCAGCCAGCTGCCTCAAGATGGAAAGACTTCTAGATGTTTTTAGAGCCAAGGATATGCATTACCCCAACCAGGGTATATGGTAGCCCAGTTGGGGTTCTGGTCTTCTATGAGAAAATGCAGTTAGGTACTGAAGAGCATAGAACTCAGGGATGATTTGAGTGGCCACCTCTTTAAATAATGGAGGTCCTTTGGTAGGGCTTTCCAGAGGCTACAAGTAGGACTTTCTGGGTCCCATCTTACAATTCAGTCACTGGTCCAACCAGAGTTTCTGGTTTACACCTTCAGCCATCTGAGAAGGTGACCTCAAAACTATATGGGGCAGCATCAGTTGCCTCTTTGATAGGTAGGCACGCATCTTTTAGCACTGGAGGACTTAGAATGAAGGATAGTAGTGTTTAATTAAGAACATCGAAGCCACAGCATTACTATGTTTGCTTTTAAGGAATCTATACTTTTTTTTTTTAAGTTAATTTATTTGGAGAGAGAGCAGGCCAGCAGGGGAGGGGCAAAGAGAGTGGGAGAGAAAGAATCACAAGCAGCCTCTGAGCATTTGGCACAGAGCCTGTCGCAGGGCTCCATCTCACAATCGC